AGGTTGACATTTTCATGAAATTGCTCATATATATTTTTTCTGATGGTCATTGGTTCTTAGTTGTGAAAAAGCAGAACAGTGTATTACTTATTTTTGTATGTATATGATATTGTATCTGCAAAAATAAATATAGTTAGCAAAAAAAAAAAAGTCCTGGAAAAGTCATGAAATTTCTGTAGTCAAAATGTTTATGATTCCTAATTATACCATTCCTACATTTTTATAGGTTATTATACGACAATATTATATAGTTTTTTTTAGTATCTCCAGCAGAAGAGGAGCCTCCACATCAAAATCTAATGCTCAGCCCACAATTCAGCCAACATTAAAAAAACAAACGCTTATAAACCAACATCCAGCGTCCTTCAGAGCTGAACAGTGCAGTGGCTTCACTTCATATCCACAGAAAAGAAAGATCCAGAAGTCTGTGTTTTTCTAACTAATGAAGACGGCTACTTTATGTAGCCTGACATATTTACAGCTCCTAAATATTTGAAAGGAATTTAAAGGCATTTAAAAAGAGCATATTTTAGCGCAGGGATGACAAAAACGTGATATTTATATCCAAGATTATCATAGCGTCAGAATCTAACACCAGCCCATGATGCCTAATGCTGAAACACCTCGCTGCTTCCTGCCGCAGTTAATAGCCCCTCCCTGAGTTCCCAACACATGTGTACACCAGGGCTCGCACCTCAGCCCGAAAGGATTCTCCCAGCCCCCACTCTTGTGTGTGTGTGTGTGTGTGTCTCGTCCTCAGGGTCTGACCCGCATGATGGATTTCAGGCCCGCCTACAGCAGGGCCTCTTTGTGTTGGTTATGTGACCCATCAGCGCTGGCAGAGCTAAACGGCAGCGCCAAAACAAGCTGCAGTGAAGGGCATTTACTACCGCTGCTGCTTTTGCAAGCGAACAGCATTCATTATATACAAATGTGCAATTTAATTATGATGATACAGTTGACGTCTGAATTATGAGCCCCCCTGAATTATAAACTCCCTAATTTCTGTTTAACAGAGATTTCTTTTCAACACATTTCTAAACATAATAGTTTCAATAACTCATTTCTAATTGATTTATTTTGTCTTTGTCATGATGACAGTAAATAATGTTTGACTAGATACTCTTCAAGATGCTAGTTTAAAGTGACATTTAAAGGCTTGACTCGGGTGATTAGGGTAAAGTTGGAGTAATTAGGCAAGTCATTGTATAACAGTGATTTGTTCTGGAGACAATCCAAAACTAATAGATCTTAAAGGGGCTAATAATATTGACCTTAAAATGGGATTAAAAAAATGAAATAATTTTATTCTAGCTGAGATAAAACAAATAAGACTTTATCTAGAAGAAAAAAATATTATCAGACATACTGTGCAAAATACCTGCTCTGTTAAACATTATTTGGAGGAAAAAAAAAAAAAAAAAAAAAAAAAAAAAAAATATATATATATATATATACATATATATATGTATATATTGTGATTAAGTTTTTATTGATTTTGATTTTGCATGTGAGTGGTTGTAGCATGTAGCATCTTTACGATTTCCTTTCAATAAACAAGATCCACTCCTCAACACCCCCCCTCCCAAAAAAACAAAAACAAAAAAAAAAAAACACCCCCCAGCGGTGCCAAAGTCCATGCCATGCCCCAATAGCATTGCAATCAAGACAAGTAACAGAAAAAATAAAATTGTACATATAGATATCCATCCACATAGCCATACACTAACAAAAGTAAATACATATTTACACAAACTATCAGGGATTTCGTGATTCAAAGTTGTTGCACAATGTCTATTATCCATGAGTCTTTCTGCCAGTTTGTCCGCAGCCATTTTCCACGCATCAAGAGTTGAGGCTCTAGCTTTATTAATTCTGGCTGTTGAAAGTTCTAACAATACTATATCATAAAACTGATATAGCCACTGCCGAATAGATAAAGAATGCGGAGGGAGCCATCTTTGCGCAATTATCTTTTTTTGCAGCCGTTAGTCCTGCCAACAAGACCTTTCTTTGTCGCTCTGTCAAACCCAAACTGGAATCATCATTTAAAAGTAACACAACTGGTTGAATTTGGAAAATATATGAAGAAATATTCACAGGAGGGCAAATCATTTTGACTTTAACGGCGAGGGCTAATTCTGACCATTAAATGAATTCTTAAATAATTCCTTCAAGAGGTGATAAATCATCAAAACAACGGCATTCACCTCTGCCAGGAAAAACAGGAGATCGGTGGATGTATGTGCCATTTTCAGGGGTGAATCCACCGCTGGCAAACACATGATCACCTAAAAGTGCATGATTTGAAATCTGCCATCATTGCTTCTGGGCTCATAGGAGGTTTTGAGGTGGTCACCTGAACAATAAATGTGACTCTCAAGTCTAAAGCTGCTGAACAATATTAGTGTTGATCGGCTGATGCTGCTGTAAGAATGTGCACAGCTCATGAAATATTGAGACTGTAGCTGTTTCCATTCAACTATTTCATGTGCGTTATGGACAAGCGGCAACCTCCCGCTCTCCCTCAGGAAGCCAATACGGAAGTAACTAAAACTGCAATTCATCTGAAATTCCGCTAGTCCTGGCCGCTCCTGACTCCAAAACAAAGCAAATTTCAATTGAGCCCACTGTTAGAATGGCCAACTTTACAGCAGAAAAAAAGGTGTTTACAGCCTGGTACAAAAAAAGATGTTGGTTAATACAGCTAATATTACCCTTCATGACAACTGTGAGGGGGTGAATTTTTTTATAACTCATCCGTTTCCTTTATATTAAGTTATATTAAGTTTGCATAATTAAGGGCGTGGCCACTTGAGTGACAGCTAGGTCTCATTGGTCGCCGTCACGTCACCTCAGCTGAATCCTGCAGATTAGCCACTGAACTCGGCATATTTATCGTATTTCTGTGTTGTTTTATGTGGCTTTACACAGTCAACTGCCTTTTGGACTTGTTTCCTACAATTATTAGATGGCATGGCATGCTGAGTGCACGTTATTGTGCTCACAAACCATTCACGTGGCCTCCGTTTCCCATGCGAGTAAAGTTATATACTTATATACCATCTCTATACATGTATTTGTTTTATTTAAGATCATTTATGGTTTATATTTATATTTAGAGCTGTAATGCACTCCAGAATCTGACAGATTGATTAGCTGTAGGCTCTAGAACAGTCATCTGAAGCGTTGTCATACAGTGTTATGCTGGATTTCATCAATAGTCTTACATTAACTAACACAGACTATATCTGAAGTGTTTGGAAGTAATTTGCGTTTTCCTCCTGTTGAAAAACGTCATAAGAACAATGTTTAGTGGCTCAATATATTACAGCAGTGTTTTTAAAAGTCTAAACACTTTATTGATATAGTGTACAACCAAGCACAAGTGTTCAGAACACAAACGAGTCGCAGGTGATAAAGTATTAAGCATTTCTCCCAAAGTAAAGTGTGTCTGAACCAGGTCCAAGCTAAATGCCAGCAGGTGTCTGTAGCTCCGCTCACTCTCCGCCTCATTGCACTTGTTTGGTATCCCGCCGTGGCTGTGATGACGCGCGAATAAAATGGCGACGGTTGGCCGCTCCTACTTGTGGCTTCTTTTGCGCTTTTTAGAAACCTATGGGTGACGTCACGGATACTACGTCCATATATTTGACAGTCTATGGTTATGGAATATCACATAATATGGCTAATGGCTAATCCATCTTTCAGATGAGATGTAAACCGAGGTCCTGACTCTCTGTGGTCATTAAAAACCCCACGGCACTTCTCCTAAAGAGTAGTAGGGGTGTAACCCCGGTGTCCTGGCCAAAGTCCCTCAAAATGGCCTCCCAATCATTCCCATCCACCGAATTAGCTCCATCACTGTCTCTCTGCTCCACCAATCGTTGGTTTGCGTTGAGTGCACTGGCCCGGTTGTCCTGTGGCTGCCGTGGCATCATCCAAGTGGATTCTGCACACTGGTGGTGGTGTGGAGAGACCACCCCCATGATTGTGAAGCACTTTGAGTGTATGGCAATACAAAATAAGTGCACTATATAAAAATACACATTACATTATTTTCTAAATTCTTTTTAGGTCAATATTTTTATATCTACAGAACAAACCATCGTTATACAATGACTTGCCTAAAGCCTGGTTTATACTTCTGCGTCAAGTGACCGGCGTAACTCATGGCGCAGGCAACGCGCGCAGCTGTGCATTTATACTTCTGCGCGCTGTCTCTGTTGGTCTGCATTAACACTTCCGAAACGCTAGTTGGCAGTGAGGTGTAAATGTTCCTCTGTGTCGAGTTTCTTCGCTTCTGTTTTGCTTTTCCTGAACACTTCCTGGATGTACAAGTGGCTCAAACTCGCTCATTTTGAGGCAGGAACCGGCGGACGTGCAACAACTTTACCTATGAGGTAAACACAAAACAAAACTTTCCATCCGGAGCTCCTTCATGAGACTCAACACTTGTAAACAATCGCTCGCGCCATTCATGCAGCTCTCGGTTCCGCCCAGACTCGTCAGCGCTACCAAGCCGACCAATCACAGAGCTTGCGCTACGCGTTGTTGCGACGTGTAGTTACATTTTTTGAGAGGTGCACATCAGCGACGCCGACGGCCACGGCGAAGGGCTATGCGTCAGCGCCGTAGCATACACCGGCGTTTGACGCAGAAATATAAATCAGCCTTAATTATCCTAGAACGCGCTTGCCCAGAGTGCGCGAATGGTCATATACGTTTGGTCATATACGTCATGGTTCATATACGTTTTTGGTGGCGTAATGTGGACGGAGATATGTTCAGAAACGCTAGTGTGGACGCAGATCGTTTTTAATCTAAAATGCCGTTTTAAAACTAAAACGCACTAGTGTAAACGGGGCCTTAGTTGGTGTTAGAGATGCTTCAAGATGCAATGTTAAGTTAGGCCTTTTGTTTTTGTTATTGTGATATAATTAAACTGAGCTTGAATTCTGTGGTTTTTAAATGCTGTTGTTTTTGTTTTATCTTCACAGATTGATGCTTTGATGCCTGGGAAACATTGCTAATGAAGAATATGGAATACTAATAATGGACTGAAGATCATGCCCCTCAACAAGTTCTCGATCTGTGTTCTTTAAGAGAGGATAAACAAAATAATCAATTAATAGTCATTGGAGGCTAACTAAACCAAACCATGGCTAGCAAGAGGAAGTCCACTGTTCCATGCATGATACCTGTAAAAACAATTCATCTGCAGGATGACTTTGATCGTGAAATCATGTCCCCTCAGACTAAGGACATAGGGATTACCTTCACAGAGGAAGCAAGTGCAAAAAGCAGTCAAAGTTTGGACAAGTCCTCTGGGCAAGAAGATATCCTTAAAGATGCTGGATTTTACACTTGTAGACCATGTAACTTTGAGACCCAGGATCTTAATCTTTTCCTTGATCATGTCTACAGTGGGCACACAGATTTCCGTATGGACCCCTGTTTTCTTTGTGTGAGCTGTGGAAAAAGTTCTGCAAAATTTGAGGGCTTGGCACTGCACAATGCCCGTGTCCATCCCAGTACAATAACTACCACACTTCAACTTAAAAAGAAGGACAACAGGGTCATTGTGGAGCAGAGTCTTTGTGTTGAACCTTGTGAAAGCACTAGCTCAAGAGATACTGAAATTTCCATCACGAAGACACCAATCATGAAAATGCTGAAGAGTAAATCCGAATCCAAAAGGATTGTGGTTTCTCATCCTGCTACTGATGATCCTTCCCCCTCTATTTCTAAAGTCGTGGAGAAAAAGGACCCTCCTGCTGTAAAAGTCACCCATGTGCCCACTATTGTACATAATGGGGCAGCCACCAAAGTTTCCCTGCCATCAGCCATACAGATTGTTAATGGCTCTGGGGCTTTACCCATGCTGAAGACAGCAATGACACAAGTTGTATCTGTTGTGCAGAACAGAAGTCTCAGCCAGCAATCTGCTCCAATCACTCTCTCTTCATCCCACTCCTCTCCAGGCTCCTCAACAAGTACTAAAAATCTTCCCAAAGTGATGATCCCCCTAAGCAGCATTCCTACCTACAATGCATCCATGGACAACAGCAGTTTCTTAAAGACATCTTTTAGCAAGTTCCCTTATCCAACCAAGGCTGAACTTTGCTACCTTACTGTAGTTACCAAGTACCCAGAGGAGCAGATCAAGATCTGGTTCACAGCACAAAGGCTGAAACAAGGAATCAGCTGGTCTCCAGAGGAAATAGAAGAGGCCCGAAGAAAAATGTTCAACACAATTATACAGGCAGCACCTTCCAATGGCCAGCAGCAACGGCAGGCCCACCATACTCCTGCTCAGTCTACTATCACAGTTCTTGGCACGACTGGCATCCCACACATCTTACAAGGTAGCCTGGTTGGGCAAGGAGGAGTCATAGTCACCCAGCCCATGATGGCAAATGGTATTCAGGTCAGCAGTGCCCCAGTTACCCTAGCGGTTACACCCAAACCCCAGGCTGCTGCAAAGCCTTTAATGCAGGCCAGACCTGCTGCAGCCCTGGTAGCTGATAAAGGAATCAGCATGGTTTTGGGCTCTGTTGGTAGCAGTAGTAGTGGAAATTGCAGCAGCAGCAGTAGCAGCAGCAATGCTAGTACTAGCAGCAGTTTAAGCAGTGTTAGTAGTACTAGCAACCTGTGCAACCAGACTAGTGTAATCAGTATTGGTGGAAGCAGCACTGCTAAGTCAAATGGCAACAGCAATGTAAGGGTCAGTGCAACGGGTACCAATGGCACTTGTGTTCAAAGCAGTGGTAATGTTGTGAAAAGTGAAGATAAAGTCAGTTCTGAGTCTAAAAGCACCAGCAAGAGCAGTGTTCCAGCTGCCAGTACCACTCCACCCACAACCTTAGCATCTACAACCTCAACAGACACCCCAGTACCATGTAAATCAGACTCCCCAAGTCCTGCCTCTACGAACTCTCGTGTTTTCTCTAACAGTAACTTTTTGGACCCCGGCTTTAACAAAACCAAAAAGTCCCAGGAACAACTGTCAGCCTTAAAGGAGAGCTTCCTTATAAGCCAATTTCCCAACCAAGAGGAAGTGGACAGACTTATAAACCTAACTGGTCTATCTGTGCGTGAAGTACGGAAGTGGTTCAGTGACCGCCGCTACCACTTCAGGAATCTGAAAGGTTCAAGGTCGAGTGGTGGCGGTCAGACTGTTACAACAAGTGGTAGCATCTCCCAACTTGATACGGTTGCTGCTGTAGACCTATCAGAAAACGGTTCACCCCCAGAGCGGCCCAAAACTCCACAGCAGTCACCTCTTAGTCCCACACAGACATCATCACCGCCAACTCCAACACGTCGTCCTCCACGACCCCCTTCACCAGATTTTACGGCTATACGCTACAAAGAGCGAGAGCCTCACCAGGTTCGAGCTTTAGAGGCAAGCTTTACACAAGAGCCAGATCCAACTAGTGAAGAAGTTGACCGGTTAAGAGCAGAAACAAAGATGACCCGACGTGAGATCCATGGTTGGTTTGCTGAGCGGCGAAGGAGGGTAGCAGCAGAGAAGAAGAAAGAGGAAGCTGAGAAGGCGGAAAGAGAAGATGATGATTATGTGGGAGAGGAAGAGGAGACTGGGGTAAAAAAGGAAGGAATAAGCAATGAGGAAACACATGAAGCTGAAGATTCCTCAGTAGAGACACAAGGTGAAGACGAGAAACTGAAGGATGAAACCGGTAATGAGCCAAAGGTTAATCCTATCAAAATCAATCTCAAAATGCTTAAGGTTACTGAATCCAGTGGAAAAGGTGAACCAGAGGGAAGTCAACCGGTTGAGGCTAGCAAGGTGCCACAGACACCTGTTCCACAGACCTCTCAATACCGAGGTAAGAAAACACCAGAACAGCTCCACCTGCTGAAACAAGTCTTTGCACGCACCCACTGGCCTAGTAGTCCACAGTACAACGAACTGATAACTAAAACAGGTCTACCTAGGCCAGAGGTAGTACGTTGGTTTGGAGATTGCCGCTATGTCCTGAAGAATGGTCAACTGAAGTGGCTTGAGAGTTACCAGACCATGGTAGACGAGGAAGACTTTCAGAAAGCTAACATAAGTGTCCTACAGGAGCACCTAGACACGCATGGGAAACTCGATGAGACTAAGTTGGAAGAGATAGCCAAGTCAAGTGGATTCGGTGAGGAATCTATACGGCGATGGTTTGCGAAGACACCACTTTTATCGGAGAAAAGAAACTCTGAGAACACGGCAAGTGAAGCGACGGGGTCATCTGCAACTCCAACTGAAGCTGCTTCAGGATCACAGCATGCAGAGCATGAAGATGTAAAGGTGGAGGAGTCGGGGAGCAGCACAGTCTCAAAGGATCACACAGTTGACATATCAAATGCTGAAGGTGATTACATTTCTGCCATTTTTACCTTCAAATAATTACAGTGTATTTGGTTGTTGTTTGGCACACAGGACAGAATGAACAGAATTAGGTATTTAAAGTGCAGTAAATGGTTGAACATTACTTTGTCTTTGACCTCTCTTTATACAAACTGCTGTCATGCAGTTTTTCCATTTTTGAGCCAAATCTCAAAGCTGTCCTATGGTGCGACTGTCTCAAGAATAGCTCAGTAAATTACCTGTTCACTTTTATGAATTAAAATTTAAATCATAAAATCATTGATAAACACCTCAGACTTATTTATTTTATTTTTTTTTACAAAAGGCTATTTTGGTAAATGCCAGTCATTTTTTCATACATTTATTTCTCAAAAAAAAAAAAAAAAAAAAGCATAGAAACTTGATATATTTTGTTACTGAAAGCATGTCCTCTGGTGTGACACTATATACTCATTTTAAATGACCTGTTCTGCTGAAAACTTTAATTAATTAAAAGACCCTGTTTGATATCAACTCCATCCCCTACAAGTTTTTGACTCTAAGGGTGCTTTCCTACCTGCATATTTAGTTCGGCTGAATTGCACTGGAGTTCATTTTCCCTCTTGGTGCGATTCGTTTGGGCAGGTGTGAATGTAGCAATCGCACTCGAGTGCGCACCAAAAGTGGACCCAAAAAGTGTACCGAGACCTCCTTGAAGAGAGAGGGAAAACAATACCTGATGAATCGTTGGTAATATTTCTGGAAGCAAATTAGCTAAACTAATTTATGCCTCCTCCTAACGCCTTTGTCATTTGCAATGCATTAAACCATTGTTTTCCAGCTGCAGATGTGCTTCATTCTCGAAATGTAAAGTTTGTCTAAAGTGATGTTTACAAACTATATAGTATACTATGACCTGGGGTCCGTTCTTCGTACGTGGATTACTCAGTTAGCTGGATTTGGATATTGACGATTTGACACGATCCAGGATCGTTTCGTTCTTCAAAGCTGATCCGAGAGTTGTTGTCATAGCAACAGTTCTGCTAGCTCAAACCTGATCGGGAGCAGGTTCAATTCATATAAACAGGATTAGATCGGCTTAGTTCAAGCAAAGATAATACAGAAAGTATGTTCTGAATTCTGATATTTTCTTACAGTAGTAGTTATATACACTTGGGAAAATAGTACATATTTTTTTAACTATATATATATATAAAGTTATAGTTATTAATAAAATAAATAAAGTTATACATATTAATAAAACTTATGGAATCTGCACCCTCGAAATGAAAGTACAAAGACTGCCACCTGGTGGTGCAAAGAGAAAACTTATTGATATGAACTTTTTTAGATCGCTTTAGTACAAATTGTGTATAATAGAAATGCAGAATATGTGACTTTTTTTAAAAAGCAATAATACATTTATGCAGTCATAAACATGTTTTGACAGTTAATATGCCGGTGATTTGATGCTTCACAAAAGTTGCAGACGCCGTTACCAATATCGAAATGCTTTTGTAAACATCCAGTTATTCTTTACACCGATTAAAAAACGGCGACTATAATAAAGAAAATCTTTTCTAAATGTAGAATTAAATACACTGATATGCACTGAAATACATGATGAATACTCTTGACACATGAAAGTGTAAAGCCTGCAGCTCATAACAAATGTGGAAGGTTATTGCGTGTCATATTTAACAAGCCGTTTACTGCTAATTTGATGTAATTTTGCTCACATGGACAAATGAATATTAATCAGATGATGTCATTACGCTGCTGTGCCGTCAGCCAATCGTTGCATTGCTCATCATGATTTCGAGGATCGATAGATCTGTCCTTCACAACACACGCAGCGATCTCAGATCAGTTTATCCAGACATTCCAATCTGATTCCCGAACTTGTTTGAAGAACCAAATTGGCGAGAGATCAGTTATCAAGATTAAAAGATCCAGGATCAAATAATCTTAGATCATTTAAGCGAGGTACGAAGAACGGACCCCAGGGATACAATCAGCCAGCGCACTGACATTTTGTGTCTGCCGGTTTGTTTGCTTGCCGGAGTTCCATTGACATTTTCCCGCACGTTAATTCTGACCAATTACAAAAGCAGTTTAGGAAATACATTTAATAGCATCTGGCCAATGAGTGATGTGGATTTTGTCACATGACTGCATTTTGTTTCTTTTCAACTGGGTCGGACCAAAGCAATCAGTGTGGTGTAAAAACGACCCAAAAAATGTGTCATTTGTTGCCCCTTGGTCCAGACCAAATGAACCAAACTACCGAGGTGAAAGCACCCTAAATTTACACCCATTTAACTGTTTTGTTACAGTATCAGTTTTGGTGTAACACCCCTATTAATTAAAAAAAAATCTCAAACAAGTCATAGAGGAAAACATTGCCGGCAGCTAGCTCTCTGCAACTCTCACATGGTCGTCCACTGAAGCTAAGCAGGGCTGTGCCCGGTCAGTACCTGAATGGGAGACCACAGGCTAGGTTGCTGCCGGAAGTGGTGTTAGTGGGGCCAGCAGCAGGGGGCGCTTAACCTGTGGTCTGTCTGGATCCTCACGCCCCAGTATATTAATGGGGACTCAATACTGCTCATCTTTCGTACAAGACGTTAAACCGAGGTCCTGGCTCTATTTCGAAGGACATCCTGGGATTTTAACAGAGTAGGGGTTTAACCCCGGCATCCTCGCCAAATTTGCCCACTGGCCTCTGTCCATCATGGCCTCATAACCATCCCTATATTATAATTGGTCCCACTTTATATTAAGTGGCCTTAACTAATATGTACGTACACAGGACTTAATAGTTTGTTACAATGTACTTTTTATGTAAATACATGTATTTACTTTGTATTTATGCTTGATTAAATACATGTATGTAATTACATCTTTAATTAACTTTTGTAAGTACATTTGTAAATACCCTGTTGACCATCCCTTACACCTTAACCCACCCTTAAACCTACCCATGCCACCAAACCTGTCCATAACCCAAGCCCTATCCCAACTCAAGAGCACCACAAGTCTTCTCAAATACATTATGAACACAGTAAGTACATTGTATTTATTTTTTGATGTAAGTTCATAGTAGTTAGGGACACTTAATATAAAGTGGGACCTTATAATTGGCTCCTCTCCACCAATCAGCTGGTGTGTGGTGTGCAATATGGCTGCCAACCTTCCAGAAGCATGCTGCACACTGGTGGTGGTTGAGGAGACCCCCCCCCCCCCCCCCCAAAACAATATGTAAAGTGCTTTGTGTCTAGAAAAGTGCTGTTAAAATGTAAGGAATTATTATTATTATTATTAAAATAGCACTGTATTACAAATAGCACTATATGAACATGTGTACAGAAATGAAGATAAATCTTTATATCAATTTTAGCTGTCGCACCATTAGACGTATATAAGGTAGAGTTTAATAGTACAGATGCCTATTTGTCAACTAACCACATATTGTGGATTGGGGAGGTTGAAGGGTAGTAACAATGACTTAGTGCTTAAATTGTGTCCAGTTTTGGCTAATACGGTTCATTTTTGCAGAGTCTGACTGAAGAAACGTGGAGATATCAGCCAATGGGATTACAGCACACGCAGCCTTCATGCGAAGGCCTTTTTTAAATGTCAGATGGAACACGAGCACTGGAGGACATATCTGCATAAAGAAAAGAGACTTTCTTCCTGAGGAACATTTTCTTTTTAGCGTAAGCTACGAGCTATGCTACTGTTCACATTGTGTGGATTATTAAAGGTCAAGATGCGCCCTTACACCAGACGGCTGCTTTTTCTGTTAGGACAGGACACCTTGGCCTTTTCAAGTTGAGTTTACTTATGATGGTCATTTCCTAATCGCCATTTTTAAGGGATTTTCGATGGTACGAAGAGGAAACTGCACAGCTCTGGTTGAGCCCTTTTGTAATTCTTCTACATGCGCCTCGGGGAGGTGGAGATGTATGCTGTAGGTGAGCATCAATACCACAGCACTTTAGGTTTTCTGGTCTCGAAACGTCATTTAGAGTAAAAGCAATGTCAAATGGTGTTGTCAAAACAGATTCACCAGCGGTAACGGTCACGCTTGACATGTTTGATTTTTACAAATATTACTTGCAGAATAAATTTAATACTGAAAGAAAGATCATGGATTATTTGGCGAAAACACACACACCAGTCAATGTTGAATAAGTACTTTATTCTCAGGCTTGATTATGTTTCATATGAAAAGCAAAATTAAAATGTATACTTCCTCCAATATAGCATAGGCACGTTACAGAAAAGGCTTGGTTTGTAAATAAGAACATCGGTAACAAAATGCTGATGCGAGAAAGCATAGAAAAAGGCATACATGTCCAACGGGGGATCTTTTGTTGATGTATATATGTATACACACACACCAAGGCACATGAACGATGATGAAGGGGAATAAGCAGAACGTAAATGTACAGACTGGAGAAGGCCAACAGAGATTTAACACTGAGGGAATGTCCGCTAATCAGGAATAAATGCAGAGGAACGGCCCTCTCAAGGGGTTTGGCCTCATCCTTTCCTTTTTTTTTTAAAGCTCAGGAAGCGGTTCTGTCTAATCTTTCTAATGTAATGTACACGGATTATAGCAACAACAAAAAAAAGATGACAATGTAGACATGCAATGTAGCCCCTCTTTCCAGTTTTCTTCACATGACCAGTCAGGGGAACACACAACAAAGCAACGTTGTTGGGAGCTTCTTCCACAGCCGTCATGCACTGAATCAAATAAATACTGCCATAACTTAGGTGTAAAATATATATATACGTTTCTAAAATGGGCTGCAAAGCGCAAATATAAAAATGCAACTGGACCCCAAGGTCAAACGGAGAGCCAGGTAAAGCATCAGTGATTGAGAAGGACAACAAAAACAAACAGTACACTTACAATGGCTTCAGTATGTGGCTGTTAGACTCTTAGAATGACAAGGCAACGTGCGCAGTAATACTGCGACCTCTACTGGCTAAACAGAAGTACTGCGTCAAACGGAGCTACAATAACCACTGCCTTCTTACTACACATCAACTGTAAATACTCAATTTAGCCAGTCGTTTTTTTTTATTGTATTAGGACTATGGCATAACAGAGACCGAATGGCACAATGAAAAGACTGACTGAAATGCCCTTACTCTGGTCAACACAAGAAAACAAACACAAGATCCTTTTCGTCCAGAAGTATTCAATGCTCAGGGTGGATTTCTAAGCCGATATTAAGGAGACACACATATTTGGTCCCGCACAGTCGTCCTTTGGCTTTCTAACGATACTTTAAGTATACAACGTCCGCACTATACGATTAAAATAAGGACAAAATAAAACATTTCGACTGATCAAAGAGGAAAAGAGTACATCAGAAATGATCTTCAGAAGGATAATGAAATAAAACGTGAAATGAGATGGTCCATGTTTCGTAAACTTTTTCGTAAGCTTTCCTGCAAAGCCTTGAAAACCCCACCTGAGCTGTTTATGCATTAAAGTCCACCCGAGCAGACTGCCGAAAAACAAAAGGAGAGTGATATTGCTCTCTGGTCACGTGATAACCTCAGTACGTTTAGCGTAAAACAAAAACACGTTCGAATGTTGAAGAATGCTTCGGTGAGATCTCCCAGAATGCCATCTGCCCCTTTGCAAAAACAGACACTTCAGTCCGTGAGGGAAGAAAACGCACAACTTAAAAAGGCCAAGCCCTCATGTTAGACACGCACTCGCATCGTTAAAAACGTAACGTTTAAATAATACAAAATCATGAAATAAACTCTGGAGTGAAAGGCTCTTTGAGAGCAGATGCTTCTCGAATTTGACGGCGAAATGGACCCCACACACACACACACACACATTTATATAGTCATATATAAGCCAGAGAGATAGAGTAAAGCAATGTGTTATTACTCCATAAATGTTAACCTGGAATGGGTTCGGTTTTGTTTACAGTGATGAATGATACAGCCCCACTCAGTTTTGAAACGCTGTTCATCCGTGAGCGTCTGCGTCAGACACCCGTCCCGTCCTGTCGGCAGCAGGTTCAGATTGTAGCGAAGCAGGTTTTTGTCCGCGAGCGAGGGCTCGGCGCGAGTCCCTCTGCCCACCACAGGGCCCTGAGCAGGAGAGAGAGGATCTGTCTGAAAGCGCCGCTATGCCCATTCCCAAACAAACCGTCCCGACATCATCATCATCATCATCAGCTCTGCAGAATCCCTGTCGCTGGCCTTGCGTCTCGTCTGCTCCGTCTATCCATCTGCTCGGTTTACGCTCGGTTATCGGCGCTGACGCGAGCCCTGCGGAGCCTGCGGGAGAAAAACACAGCTCACTGAAGAAGCGCTGTACAATAGTGAAGTAGGCCATGCACTGCACTCCTGTGGTGTTTAGATATTGGTGTTAGGGCGATACAACAACAACAACAAAAAAAAATTCACAATATAAAGTTTCATATCATTCAATATCGATATTTATTGAATATTTATTAATACATTGACGAATATTAGGATTCTTTATTTAATTTAACCACTTTATTTTAACTTTCCAACTAAGGTTTAATGGTCAAAAACTAAAAAAATAAACAAAAATATCAGGGGCCTCATGTATCAACGAACAAAAACTTTGCGTACGGCAGGTTTCATGCTTAGAACGAGTCATTAGGTGTTTCGCGATGACGTATCTACGAAACACAAGTAGTTGCGCGCGCAAACCCGGGAAATTTGAAACCTGCGGCCACGCCCTCTAACACAGAAAAAAAGCCACACACACACACTCAAACACACGCCGGTCGAATGAAGTCACGATGTGCAGATGGATATCATTGAGAAGATGAAACCTCAGCATTATAGCCCAGCCTTGAGCAGTTTGAGTGCTTCTGGAAACTACATGCTACAAAGAAGACTTCATCGGCCGTTTGTTAAAGGAAGGATCAGTAACGAGTACTGATGGACTATGTCAGAACCTGGATCGGTTCCTTACTCCATTTCTCAAGTGTAAGTACGTGCGATTAAAGTTGTTGCCTCATTTACTCCAGCTTGCAAATGTATGTAGTTGTGATTTGTTACTTGTAACCGTGTGTACTGTATCAGGTTAACTGGCTATATTCTCATATCGCGTGCAAAGCCACGTTGAAAACGCGACGCGTGCCGCTTTGTTTACGGACCTCCGAGGAGTAGGGTAATGTGTGTGTGTGTGCGCGTTGTGTCCTCCGAGGAGGAGGGTAATGTGTGTGTGTGTGGGTGTGTGTGCGCGTTGTGTCCTCCTAGGAGGAGGGTAGTGTGTGTGTGTGTGCGTGTGTGTGTGTGTGTGCGTTGTGTCCTCCGAGTAGGAGGGTAATGTGTGTGTATTGTGTCCTCTGAGGAGGAGGGTAATGTGTGTGTGCGTGTGTTAAAAGAGCAGGTACAGTGTGATAGGGCTGTGCAATTAATCGAAAATCCGATTTCGATTTCGGCTTTTAACGATTATGAAAAGCCATTAATCGAGATAAACGATTACTCCATCACGTACCGCCCCCCTTCAGTTGTACACGTGTGAAAACTCTTTGCCTCTGTAAAGCAAAGTTCCACGTGAAAATGACTAAAAGCATGAGCTGTAATGTCACTTTTGCAGCACAGGATGCGCATCATTCATATTTTTAAAACTTGCTGTTGTGTGTGTGTGCGCCGTGCTTAGCCTCGGACAGGTAGTGCGTGTGTGTGTGTTTGTCTGTGCGCGCGCCGCGCTTAGCCTCAGAGAACAGAGCACACACACATCTAATGCCATCTTAATGAGAGCGCTTTAATGGTCAAATCCATGCACATGTGTCAGAGCGCAGTGTTAAGTGATTATTCATATTAACCCTCATTTGTGTAATAAACAAACAAGTTGAGAATCAAAAGACACGAGAAAGAGACACCATGTCAGAGCCGCACTATTCTTAAAGTGAGCGTGCGGTATTCCTGCTGCTGCCGACTGTTTTTATTATTAATCAATAATAAAATCAAAAATACAGTGAAGATGCTTAAAGCGCAGTTTAAACAACAGATTTAATAACTCATCTCTAATAACTGATTTCTTTTCTCTTTGCTATGATGACAGCACATTATATTTTACTAGATGGTTTTCAAGATACTCAGCTTACAGTGACATTCAAAGGCTTAATTAGGGTAATTGGGAAAGTCATTGTATAACAGTAGTTTCTTCTGCAGACAATCTAACATATATATTGCTTAAAGGGGTTAATAATATCGAGCTATTAAAATAGGTTTCAAAATATTTAAACCTGCTTTTATTCTAGCTGAAATAAAACAAATAAGCCTTTCTCCAGAAGAAAAAATATTATAGGAAATACTGTAAAAAAACCCTCTGTTAAACATCAATTGGGAAATATTTATATATAAAAATAAATTCACAGGAGGACGAATAATTTTGACTTCAACTGATAATCGTTTTGAATAATCGTGATTACAATTATGATTAAAATAATCGTGACTATTATTTTTCCCATAATCGAGCAGTCCTAGAGTGTGACAAGCTAGGCGATCTCCTCGCCAGTGATTGGAGTTTTTGCTCAATAAAATAGTTAGTCGTCGATATTTTCAAGTCCATCGTCTGTAATTACATTCACCCACTGGCAGCTAAAATCCACGCCTTACACTATGAAGCGTGTATGCACTGTGACTACTTCTATATTGTTGATTAGCTGCTGGGCATTTCAATCTGTCTCGCGATGAATGCAGTCAGTGTCGACCAATCGCAACCGGCTGTCATCGGTCCAATCAGCGCAGATTAGCTTCGTGCTAAGGTGGGGTTTGGGAACAAATGAATCACTGAACGATTCATACGGGAGTCGCTGGGATAATTAGGTAAAAATAAATGCAGATTATAAGACCATGAAAGTGTTTTTGACCTTGCATGCATATTAGACTGTTGTTGGAGACCCCCAAAACCAAGATATGACCCTATTTCATGTATAATATGGGCTCTTTAAGCCTTTAAATGTGACTTTAAGCTGAATACAAGTATCTTGGAGAATATCTAGTCTAATATTATGTGCTGTCATCATGACAAAGATAAAATAAATCAGTTATTACAGATGAGTTATTAAAACTATTATGATTAGAAATGTGTTAAAATCTCTGTTACATACAGGGGGGCTAATAATTCAGGATTGTATGACTCTTACTCGCGTGTATTAAAAGACAAAACTGTATTCTTGTGTTATGGAGTCAAATTTAAACTTGTGGATGGACGGCAATATCAATGCAGAGAACTGAACCGAATCGACGGCATGATAATCTCAACAGAACCTACGCTGATCTCACAATGTGCTTCTCAGAAGTGCTTTACCTCCTGTTCTCGTGGTCCAGCAGCGCCTCCTGAGACACTCTGAAGTCCTCCAGAGGGGTCTGATAGCGGGCCTCGAACGAGCCCTCGCGCCCGCGGTACCCTAGAGCCTGCGCCGGAGACGAGGGCAGAGGAGACATGGAGGAGGTGGAGGAGACGGAGCCAGAGTCGTTCATCCGCTCGCGGCCCGTCTGCATAGCCATCGCCATCGCCCCAGCCGGAGAGAACGGACTCAACATGTCTCCATTCTCATGCTGCGGAGGGAAAACCAGGAGGACGTCAGCACACAGCTACTGTATAATCATCACGAGAGAGTGAGCGGAGAGAGCTCAACACGCTGCAATTTAAGGCGTCGTTCACACTGTTGACAGAAGAGCACTGCGCTTTTTATGCAATACCCTGCTGAAAAATCCAGCTTAAACCAGCCTAGGCTGGTTGGCTGGTTTTAGCTGGTTGACCAGGCTGGTTTTAGAGGGGTTTTGGCCATTTCCAGGCTGGTTTCCAGCCATTTCCATTCTGGTCTTAGCTGGTCAGGCTGGAAAATGACCAGCTAAATCCAGCTAAAACCAGCTTGACCAGCCTGGTTTAAGCTGGATAAAGCTGGTTTTGGCTGGGCTCCCGGCCTGGCAAGGCTGGTCACGCTGGTTTTAGCTGGTTATCTCCTAGCCTGGCTGGAAATGGCTGGAAACCCATGTAAAACCAGCCTGGTCGACCAGCTATAACCAGCCAACCAGCCTAGGCTGGTTTAAGCTGGTTTTTTTCAGTAGGGTAGGCAACCAGCTGCATATGAACCCATCTTAAAACCTTGCATGTTGAGCTTTCTCATATGATATGAAGATACTGTGGAGCGCTTCTACATACGATCATCTCATATCCCACCCGTCCTCTGATGACGTCCATGTGCACCAGCAGACAGGCCAGCTCCAGATCCTCACTGTAGCTGTTCTTCAGCGGGACCGAGCGGTAGCCTGCAGACAGACAGGAGGAGGAGCACTCATCAGCACATTATTTACAGGAGAGACCACTGAAGTAGAGGAGTCCAGAGAGGCCCAATGAGGCCCAATGTCTGCCAGCCTGAACCAAATGCTAATCAGCACAGACCCTGTCCTAAATCACACCTTACAGGAGTAGTCCACAGTACCTGCAGTTGTGTTGATAAATAATAAATGCTGTTCTGTAGTGGAGAAATAGAATGATTCGGCGAACTATGTATTCCTCTGCCTCCCTGATATGATTTATATAAAACTGCTGAATAGTACATTACAAGTGAATGTAGTTTAATACCCTAAAAATGAACAGTGATCCCTTACTCCAGGGATGTCAAACTCAATTCCAGGAGGGGCGCAGTCCTGCACAGTTTAGCTCCAGCCCTAATTAAACACACCTGATCAAACTAATTGAGTCATTCAGCTTGTTTGAAACCACTAGGTAAGTGTGTTGGAGCAGAATTAAAACTAAACTGTGCAGGGCTGCGGCCCTCCAGGAATAGAGTTTGACATCCCTGTCTTACACGTTCAGCCGAAAAATTATAAACTAACATAACTAGTTTTTTGACAGGAGATGGTGCTGTACACTTCACAAGCAAACCAATTTCTTACAAAAACCCTTTCCAACCTAAAATAATCATTAATAAAGTTAGGAAAGGGTTAAGCAAATTACAAGATTATTCAAAGTGAGCAGTGTTTACATTAATCTCCTGACATTAAAGACAACTTACATGGTTCAGCTGAACACACAAGCGCTCTTCCTCATAAGCATTGAGTGTGTGGTTAAAAACTAACCGAGAGCGCCGTCTGATGTTAAATACTAGCCTATAGTGTTGTCTGCTTTAAAAAAAAACTAGCCTAGAGCACCATCTACTGATAAAACCTAGCCTAGAGCACCATCCGCTGTTAAAAGCTAGCCTAGAGCACTGTTTGCTGCAAAAAAAAGTAGCCTAGAGCACCATCTACTGTTAAAACCTAGCCTAGAGCACCATCTGCTGTTAAAAGCTAGCCTAGAGCGCTGTCAGCAGTAAAAAAAAAAACTAGCCTAGAGCGCCATCTACTGTTAAAACCTAGCCTAGAGCGCCATCTGCTGTTAAAAGCTAGCCTAGAGCGCTGTCTGCTGTAAAAAAAAACTAGCCCTAGAGCGCCATCTACTGTTAAAAGCTAGCCTAGAGTGCCATTTGCTGTTAAAAGCTAGCCTAGAGCGCTGTCTGCTGTAAAAAAAAAACTAGCCTAGAGCGCCATCTACTGTTAAAAGCTAGCCTAGAGCACTGTCTGCTGTTAAAAGCTAGCCTAGAGTGCCATCTGCTGTTAAAAGCTAGCCTAGAGCGCCATCTGCTGTTAAAAGCTAGCCTAGAGCATCATCTACTGTTAAAACCTAGCCTAGAGCACCATCTGCTGTTAAAAGCTAGCCTAGAGCATCATCTGCTGTTTAAAGCTAGCCTAGAGCACCATATGCTGTTAAAAGCTAGCCTAGAGCACCATCTGCTGTTAAAAGCTAGCCTAGAGCACCATATGCTGTTAAAAGTTAGCCTAGAGCATAATCTACAGTTAAAAGCTAACCTGGAGCACCATCTGCAGTTAAAAAGTAGACTAGAGCACCGTCTGCTGTAAAAAAAAACTAGCCTAGAGCGTCATCTGCTGTTAAAAACTAGCCTAGAGCGTCATCTGCTGTTAAAAACTAGCCTAGAGCGCCATCTGCTGTTAAAAACTAGTCTAAAGTGCCATCTACAGTTAAAAACTAGCCTAAAGAGTGATACTACTGTTAAAAACCAGCCTAGAGCGCCATCTACTGGTAAAAACTAGCCTAGAGCACCATCTACTGACAAAACCAGCCTAGAACAGCATCTGCTGTAAAAATAAAAACTACCCTTTGGTCATGACTGGTGGTGAACTGGACCATCCTGGTTTAGTAAGTTCAGGTAAAAGCACAGCAACAGTCCTTCAATTGGGAGCCGTACCTGTTTTGAGGCAGTTGATGGGGAATGTGGCCTGGGCCAGAAAGTTCTGGTCACTGAACATGTCGATTTCGTAGACCACAAAGCGCAGGAATGCGAAGGAAGGATTGCACACGGTGAACCTAAAGAGTTTCCTGGTCCAGGTGGGGTTCAGACCATTGTCTGCTGAGGGTCAAACAGGAAAATATCATTACTACAGGTGAATTACAGATGCTTACATCTTCTTTAATGAACCTTATTACACATTTAAAAAGTACAGCTCACCCAAAACTGAACATTTCCCCAATATTTACTCACACTCGGGTGGTTTTAAACTTTTAGAGTTAAGCTGAGTTGATTTCTGTCTGTTGAACACTAAAGATATTCTGAAGAATGTTGGATAAAAGCAGTCTACATCCATATTAAGAACAAAACACATGGAAGTCAATGACTGTTCTATGAACAACCAGTGAAGGGAGAGTAAATAAAGACAGAATTTTGGTTTTTGGATGAACTGTGCCTTTAAAGATGTTCTTCTGTATGGTGGTTCACCTTCTGAGTCTGTCCTCTGCTTGGCATTGTCATATTCTGCTCCGCAAACTTCAATCTCGATGAGCGGACAAACAATACCTCGACCGTGTTTGGGCAGGTGACGCGCTCCCAAAACCTGAAGGATACAAACACACTTTCCAACATTAGCAGCTGACATTTGCTCACATTCCCAATTATTGGTCTGACTGTTGTGCACTTGGACAAAGAAATGTCTAGTGTTTAGAGTACATTATAAACTTACATATATTCTAACTAACAGACAGGGTTAATAAATCCCACACCTATGACCTATTCTAGGTCATTGTGTAGTACAATATTTCAACAGCATTCTGTAGAGTGGGTGAAAATCTAGCAAAAGTGGATCAAACTTATAAACAGAAGTGTGTAATGTTGAACACTCACAGCTTTACACACGAAAGAGGAGGGGCTACAGAAAGGGAGGAGCTACTGAATAAGGGGAGAAGCCAGTGTTAAAAGGAAGGAGCTACTGAATAAGAGAGGCACTGCTACTGAACGGGAGGAGCTACTGAATGAGGGGAGGGGCTGCTGTTGAAGGGGAGGAGCTACTGAATAAGGGGAGGGGCTGCTGCCGAAGAGCAGGAGTTATTGAATAAGGGGAGGAGCTGCTGTTGTAGAGAAGGAAATACGAATAAGGGGAGGGGCTGCTGCTGAAGGGGAAGAGCTACTAAATAAGGGGAGGGGCTGCTACCGAAGAGCAGGAGTTACTGAATAAGGTGAGGGGCTGCTGTTGTAGGGAAGGAGATACTGAATAAGGGGAGGCACTGCTGCTGCTGAAGGGGAGGGGCTACTGAATAAGGGGAGGGGCTGCTGTTGAAGGGAAGGAGATACTGAATAAGGGGAGGGGCTGCTGTTGAAGGGAAGGAGATAATGAATAAGGGGAGGGGCTGCTGTTGAAGGGAAGGAGATAATGAATAAGGGGAGGGGCTGCTGTTGAAGGGAAGGAGGTACTGAATAAGGGGAGGGGCTTCTGTTGAAGGGGAGGGGCTACTGAATAAGGGGAGGGGCTGCTGTTGAAGGGAAGAAGATACTGAATAAGGGGAGGGGCTGCTGTTGAAGGGAAGGAGATACTGAATAAGGGGAGGCACTGCTGCTGAAGGGGAGGGGCTACTGAATAAGGGGAGGGGCTGCTGTTGAAGGGAAGGAGATACTGAATAAGGGGAGGCACTGCTGCTGCTGAAGGGGAGGGGCTACTGAATAAGGGGAGGGGCTGCTGTTGAAGGGAAGGAGATACTGAATAAGGGGAGGCACTGCTGCTGCTGAAGGCAGGGACCACTTCAGGGGAGGAGCTGCTGGTGAAAGGGAGGGGCTGCTGGGGGATGTGACATTTTAAAAGATAATGTTACCTCTATGCTGAGTGTGATGGGCTCCACTCCTCTGAGCGAGTGGCGGTCAAACGGGTCGAAGTTGTCATCCCTCATGATGGGCGGCTGCAGCACATATCCACTCCTGCCGTTCAGCATGAAGATGGCCTGGTTCATCTGCATGGGTTTATCTGAGAAGAACCAGTACAGCGTTACACCACAGAACCTGATCAGAACAACAGCTGGAAGGAACATAAATACTGAGAAATCCTCTGGATTAAGCAGGTGGAACTCCAGGTCAGTTTTGTAAAGCAATCTAGGCTAATTTTATATAGATGGAGCTCTAGGCTAGTTTTTAACAGCAGACGGCGCTCTAGGCTAGTTTTTAACAACAGACGATGCTATAGGCTAGTTTAACAGCAAATGGCGCTCTAGGCTAGTTTAACAGCAAATGGCGCTCTAGGCTAGTTCTTAACAGCAGACGGCGCTCTAGGCTAGTTTTTAACAGCAGACGACGCTCTAGGCTAGTTTTTAACAGCAGATGGTACTCTAGGCTAGTTTTAACAGCAGACGGTGCTCTAGGCTAGCTTTTAACAGCAGACGGCGCTCTAGGCTAGTTTTTAACAGCAGAAGGTACTCTAGGCTAGTTTTTAACAGCAGACGGCGCTCTAGGCTAGCGTTTAACAGCAGATGGTGCTCTAGGCTAGTTTTATAACAGCAGACGGCGCTCTAGGCTAGCGTTTAACAGCAGATGGCAGTCTAGGTTAGTTAACAGTATAGTTTTAACACTTCTCGATGTGACTCCTGGTCTTCTCACCTGCGGTCTGGAAGTTGAGGGCCACCAGCTGACTGCCGCACAGCCACATGGGTAATGGGTCGTAGTTGGAGGAGTCGAGGCGCTGGCCGCGCGGGTAGATCCGCGAGAGCTGCAGACGGTTATACTGCAGGAACTTCTTCCCTTTAACGCGGTTCACATACTTCTCTGCTTTAGTCTCGGGAAAGGAGGACATGTCCCGGAAACAGGCGCGCTCCGTCCCAATTTCTGTGGAAGACAGAAGACACAAAATATAAAAGATACATTTTACAAATATTGTTATTATAAATATATCCATCCCTCTATCTATCTATCTATCTATCTATCTATCTATCTATCTATCTATCTATCTATCTATCTATCTATCTATCTATCTATCTATCTATCTATCTATCCATTTATCTATCTATCTATCCATCCATTTATCTATCAATCCATCCATTTATCTATCAATCTATCCATCCATCTCTCTATATATCCACCCATCCATTCATTTATCCATCCATCTCTCTATATATCCACCCATCCATTCATATATCTATCTATCTATCCCTTTATCTATCTATCTATCTATCTATCCATCCATCCATCCATCCATCCATCCCTCTATCCATCCATCTATCAATTTCTCCATCCATCCATTTATCTATCAATCCATCTCTCTATCTATCTACACATCTATCCATCCATCTCTTTATACATCCATCCAACTACCAATCAATCCATCCATTCATCCACAATCTTACACATATACACCCATTTTTTATTTAATTAGTTTAAATTAATATTTATTTTGTTCTATATTGCATTATGCTTGGTTTTCTAAGCTTTGAACTCAGCGATTTTGGTTATAATTTTGTATTAAGATTGTAAGTTAATTTAAAGCAGTCTTCATAGTTGATTCTTAGATTAGGTTTTAGTTTATACATTTTTAATCAGCAACATCCAAAACAACATGTGTCCCTTTCACACAGGCAAAGCTAACATCTCTTTGCGTTTGACCTGCATAAAAGGCACTGGAGGTTCAGGAGTCATCAGTGTGTGTGAACGTGAAGCTGCTGTCTGTTTTCTTACTGTCTTCATCAAAAGGAACCGGCCGGCAGTAGATGACCAGATCAGACAGCTCTAAAGCGATCTTCTTTCTTCTCTCCATCATTTTCCCCTCTTCAAGCTGACAGAAAAACACACAGTCAATAGAGATCATCAAACATTTATGCTTATCTTTCCACTGTCATACGCTGTGTGGGTGTATTTTCAGCATTAGCCAGAAATTCATAGTACAGTTAAAAATTATTATTATTATTATTACTATTAAGCCTAAAGTCATTAGAATAGTAATGAGAGCTCATATTTTTGTGAATGTCCTACTGTGAATATTAGTGATGCTTCAAAAGGAAAAATTCTGGGCCCAAATGGAAACCAAACATTCTGGGAACAAATGGACAAAACCGAAAATAATAGACGAATTAACGGTTTGAAAAACATTCAGGATGTGCGCACAAGGAGGTTGCAGAAGAAAAAAACTGCAGCGCTAGCGTTTACAGCAAGGGAATGACATCTGATGCGGTAGAGAGTTTGTATTAGAGATAAGTTATATTGATTACATATTATATATATTATTTACATAATGCTTTCAGTGTATTAGAACAGCTCGTCAACCAGTGATAAGTACAGTTATTCAGCAAAATTAACGTTAAAGTGAGCGGCGTTCGTCTAACAGGTGCATTGGCGATAGCACCTTCCCAATGGATACTGGATGAGATGAAATGGCCGAGCATCCAGCCCCAAACATACAACTATCTCACTAAAACTCCAAGTGATTTTACAAGAGAGAGTTAAAGATCTACAAGTCTTTGGATGCTTACAATGTTGTTCTGTGTGGTCATGTGCAGGAAATAATGCTCCTTACCTTAACCTTTACGGCAGGGTATGTGAACGTACATGTTTACATTTCAGTCTGAGCATTCAGTGTCAGCAGTTTAATTCTCCATATTTAACTATTTATGCTGAAATCATTGCTGCAATCAAAAACGAGTAATGTGTATGATTCAGCATAGCGGGTGAAGCATTTTTAATTAGGTCCTCACTCCATTTAGCTCTTATGATGGCCAAAGACGTCTGCAGTTGGCATTAAAAGCAGTGTGGTGTATGGTAAAGCTTAAGTTTTCTATTTTTGGACTTTCGATTTCGGCATCCTACTGCACAACACCACATGCTTGCTATTTTCCCTACAGAAAAATCCAGCTTAAACCAGCCTAGGCTGGTTGGCTGGTTTTAGTTGGTTGACCAGCCTGGTTTTAGAGGGGTGTTGGCCATTTCCAGGCTGGTTTTCAGCCATTTACAGCCTGGTCTTAGCTGGTCAGGCTGAAAAATGACCAGCTTAATCCAGCTAAAACCAGCTTGACCAGCCTGGTTTAAGCTGGACATAGCTGGTTTTGGCTGGGCTCTCAGCCTGGCTAGGCTGGTCAAGCTGATTTTAGCTGGTCATCTCCCAGCCTGACCAGCTAAGACCAGGCTGGAAATGGCTGGAAACCAGCCTGGAAGTGGCCAAAACCCCTCTAAAACCAGCCTGGTCGACCAGCTAAAACCAGCCAACCAGCCTAGGCTGGTTTAAGCTGGATTTTTCAGCAGGGGTAACCGGTCTCTTCTTTGCAACCGCTATGTACAGTTGAACCTGTGTGACGTCATGTGTGACGTAGGTTGGTGAATCCTCAGTTATTGATAATTATTTATTAATATTATATTTATTATTTGCTCAGTATTGTGATTTTTTTGGAACCCTCAGATTCCAGATGTTCATACAGTTGGCAAATATCGTCCTATAAATAAAGTAAATACAGCTGAAGTCAGAATTATTTGCCCTCCTGTACCTTTGTTTTTCTTTTTCAAATATAGTATGATGTTGAACAGATTCAGGAATTTTTCACAGTATTTCCTAAAATTGTTTTTTCTTCTGGAGAAAGTCTTATTTGTTTTATTTCGGCTAGAATAAAAGCAGTTTTTAATTTATTTTAAACATTTTAAGGTCAATATTATTAGCCCCTTTAATCTATATATGTGTTAGATTGTCTCCAGAACAAACCCCTGTTATACAACGACTAGCCTAATTATCCTAATTTTACCCCATAGATATATACACTAGATATCGCATAGGGACCCTGAGCATGCGTCAATAGCGCCGCCACATTGGTACAGTGCTCCCAGGACAAATGTCATTCAACCGCACTAGTCAAGACAGTGTTATAACGTGAAGATGCGGGACTTTAGCGCTGTCTACGGGTGTAGTAACGAGCAAACAAAGAAAACAAAGCACAAAGGCAGAACATTTCATGGGTAATATTAAGTTTTTTTCTGTTATTGTATGTTCTGAACTTTTGTGCTAATCAGGTCACGTTATTGATGATAACAGTCACTTACTGCATTCACCATACGGCAAAGCAGCTCCAACTCGCACTAAACACTCGGCTTATGCTAGTTTTGTTGAATAAAATCAGCAAACAATGCAAAAGAAATATGACAACGAGATGCTGCGCTGCCAGAAACTTGTATTATTGTCGGCTAACGTTAGTGAAAGAGTCGTTCGGGGGATTCATTCACAAACGAATCGCTCCCTCCGTCAGTATGAGAAGTGAAAGCAGGAGAGGAGCTGTGTTTCAGGACATGATTAGATCAAATTTAACAGGGAGGGTGAATAGTACATTTCTGTACACACAAACACAAGCTTTTTGTCAGGAATGCCCGTGCGGTCACTGATCCATCAATGTAGAAAAGTGATGTAAAATTATAATTTTCATAATTAGAAAAAAAAATGACATACTAACATCCAGGAAAACTCCCGATCACAGATATATGTGTATGTGTGTATATCTCTGGCTTTGGATGGCAACAGTCCTCCACTGTACCTTGGTCCTGCATTCATTTCAAAGGAGCGCTACCCTGTACCAAGATGGCGGCGCTATTGACGCATTCCATCCAATAGACAACAACAGGCCAGGCGACATCTAATGTTTATATCTATGATTTTACCCTAATTAACCTAGTTAGGCCTTAAATGTCACTTTAAGCTGAATACTAGTATCTTGAAGAATATCTAGCCAAATATTATTTACTGTCATCATGACAAAGATAAAATAAATCAGCTATTAGAGATGAGTTATTAAAACTATTATGATTAGAAATGTGTTGAGAAAATCTTTTCATTAAATAAACATTGAGTAAACAATTCAGCGAGGGGCTAATAATTCTGACTTCAAATCTGTCCGATTGTTAGCATGGTGTGCAGCTCTACTGTCCTGCTGTACCTTGGCTTCAGATGTCATGGTGACCTCTCGGATCTTCACCACCCAGTCCTTCAGCTCCTCCTGAGAGCTGGCTGCGATGTCCAGCACAGGACCGGTGCGAGGAGACGCCACCGGCACCAGAGAGAAGACGAACTGACGACTGCCTTTCCCTTCAGGTCTGACCACTGCAGGACACACACACACACACGCACGCACGCAAACAAACACACGCTCGAATATTAATCAGGGTATCTGGAGGCTTGTACGAGTTATATTGGAGACTTAAGACCTTTTTAAAGTAAACATGAAATCAAAACTAACATGTTGATGCTGTTAGCTTACATTGCTAGTGTGCTGAACAGTTCATCTGTGCATGTCATTAAGAAAATAATAGTTTGCCCTTATAATCTTTAATTGAAATCTGGAAATGCACTTCCTGTTTGTTTCCAGCTATATTCTCAGATTAGGTCTCTCTGAGGTATTGGGTGGGGCTAACATACTAACCACGCCCCTGCAGCTGTCAGTTTAGACATCAAACAGTAACGGTGGAGTCTATCAGGCTGCAACAACTCTCTCCAAACCCTTTGCCAGATCTTTCTGAATGACACACCCACTTCACTGCAGCCAATCAGCTCGCAGTAGACAAAACAAGCCACGCCCACAGTTTTCTTATTTAACACATGCTCACACACACACACACATGCACGGATATACTCACCGATCTGACAGGAAGACACGTCCACACTTCCTCTCAGGAGATCTCCCAGAGGACTGTTCTCTGAGGCCTGCAGAGCGCACGTGTGGACACACAGAGAGAGAGAGAATAAAGGTCACAGCACCGCCGCATACAACACACATTCAACAACACATGATAGGACAGTACAACACAAAACAAACCCAGACACAACAACACAGCACAACATCACACAGAACAACACAACGCAAGACAACACAGCACAACACAAGTCCACATAACACAACAAATGAGAGCATACCACAAAACACACTCACAGATCTGTCGGGCTCCACCGCCGTCGGGCTGATCTCCTCCACATAATTGGCCGGGAACCACAGTTGCTTCTTTCCACCGCAGTCACCCTTCCACCTGTGCGGAACAAACACACACACACACACACACACACACATACTCTCAGCTCTCTGGTGTGCTTCTGAACTCATTTAAGAGAAACGGCCAATGAGTTCAAAACACACAAAGCACAGAGATGATAATAACACTTTAGGCTAGTAAAGCAGACTTTTGGCTAGTTAGACAGTAATGCTTTCAAAATGTAAACAGTGTGAAATGTAGATAGTGTCTGTCTGTGTGTGTGTGTGTGTGTGTGTCTGTGGTTATAAATAGAGGAAAAACAGCAATGTGTTCAACAATACTGGCCCACAGCCAGCATAAAGACCTGTTCATACAGAAACAACAGCAATAACTGTTAGCAAGTTGGCATCTATAAACCAGGAAACAACTGTGTGAGTTTCCTATTTAACAGTGAAGCATCTGATTGGTCAGATGGCTTTAACTTTCCCTGATTGGTCAGATTGCTTTACTCTGCTCTGATTGGTCAGATTGCTTTGCTCTGATTGGTCAGATGGCTCTACCCTTCTTGGATTGGTCAGGATGCTTTGCTCTGATTGGTCAGATGGCTCTACCCTTCTTGGATTGGACAGGTTGCTTTGCTCTGATTGGTCAGATGGCTCAACCTTTCTCTGATTGGTCAGATTGCTTTACTAGGCTCTGATTGGTCGGATGGCTCTACCCTTCTTGGATTGGTCAGGTTGCTTTGCTCTGATTGGTCAGATGGCTCTACCCTTCTTGGATTGGTCAGATTGCTTTGCTCTGATTGGTCAGATGGCTCTAGCTTTCTCTGATTAGTCAGATTGTTGTACTGTGCTTTGATTGGTCTGATAGCTTTACCTTTCTCTGATTGGTAAAATTGCTTTACTCTACTGTGATTGGTCAGATTGCTTTACTATGCTCTGATTGGTCAGATGGCTCTACCTTTCTCTGATTGGTCAGATTGCTTTACTATGCTCTGATTGGTCAGATGACTCTACCTTTCTCTGATTGGTCAGATCGCTCTACTCTACAATGATTGGTCAAACTGCTTTACTCCGCTTTGATTGGTCAAATGGCTCAACCTTTCTCTGATTGATCAAAGTGCTTTACTCAGCTCTGATTGGTCAGATGGCTCTATCCTTCTCTGATTGGTCAGATGACTCTACATTTCTGTAATTGAAAAGATGGCTCTACCTTCTGTGATTGCTCAGATGGCTCCAACCTACATTGATTGGTCAGATTTAATCTGCTCTGATTGGTCAGATCGTTTTACAATGCTCTGAATGGTCAGATGGCTCTACCTTTCTCTGATTAGTCAGATCGCTTTACTATGCTCTGATTGGCCAAAAATAATGTCTCCTAAAACATGTATTTCACCACAAATCAATCATGACGGCGTCATTTCATTTTCATTTCAAGCACGATGAGCAGTTACACACAGTTCAGATTTGCTTCTATATTTTTAAAGACAATAAGTCCATTCACCTGCATCTCTGACATCAAATATTTGAGATTCACAAAAATCAGCTACAATAAACACAACGTGACATGGTAGATCTAAATGAGCCAAATAAAATGTTTTTAAAGCCGAAAAACAAGTCTTTAGTCTGTTATTTCAGTCTTTAGGATATACTTTTTCCACCTTAGTTAGCTGATTTAAGACAGTGAGAGTTTCAGTTCTGTGTTATTTTGGTATTCGGGCACTTTGTGCAACAGGTCTGCCACTATATTTTAATAACTGCAACCTGTTTCTGTTTTCAGAAGGGAATTTACAAACTCACACTTACAGCAATGTGATATTGTTGACAACAGATATAAAATCATCCACATCCTCTGCGGCTAGTCAGAATGTGAAAAAAACACTATTGATATATGTCCGTTTAACTTGCTCAAGTCTTAAATTTGTCCTCTTTGTCTTTAAAAATACTCAACACTTATTCTTCTCTTAGGACAATTTAGAAAAACTTTTTGAATCCTTCAAACTTTGAATCAGTGAATTGTTAACTGGACACCGGCTCTGACAATCCTTGACTGGACACACTCGCTCTGACTGAATCATTTGAATCAGTGGATTATTAATTAGACACATACTCTGACTGAATCATTTGAATCAGTGGATCATTACCTGGACACTCGCTCTGACCGAATCATTCTAATCAGTGAATCAATCAATCAATTTTGACTCCCTTTGACTGGATCCTTTGAATCAATTAGTCACTGGACACTCCCTCTGACTGGATCCTTTGAATCAATTAGTCACTGGACACTCCCTCTGACTGGATCCTTTGAATCAATTAGTCACTGGACACTCCCTCTGACTGGATCATTTGAATCAATAAGTCACTGGACACTCCCTCTGACTGGATCATTTGAATCAATAAGTCACTGGACACTCCCTCTGACTGGATCATTTGAATCAGTGAATCATGAACTGGGCAATCGCTCTGACCGAATCATTTGAATCAGTCAGTCATTAACTGGACACTCGCTCTGACTGAATCATTTGAATCGGTCCAACATTAACTGGACACTTGCTCTGACCAAATCATTTGAATCAGTGAATTATTAACTGGACACTCACTCTGACTGAATCATTTGAATCAGTAAATTATTAAATGGACACTTTCTCTGACCGAATCATTCGAATCAGTGAGTTATTAACTAGACACTCTCTGATCGAATTATTTGAATCAGTGAATTATTAATGGACACTCTCAGACCGAATCATTTGAATCAGTGAATTATTAACTGGACACTGATTGAATATACTGAGTTAGTGAATCATTAACTGGACACTCTGACTGAATCTATTGAATCATTCACTGGACACTCTGAATAAATCTACTGAATCAGTGAAACATTTACTGGACACTCGCTCTGCCGGATTAATTTAAACCAGTGAAGTGTTTAGTGAATAGTGAATGTTTTGCTTTGGAAGACGACAAGTAAAAGTTTCTCAGAGTAAAATGGCGTGGTGAAGTGAGTTAATGTGGTACTCACCAGCCTCCCTCCTGTTTGTCCACGTTACTAATGATGGCGTTCTTGATGAAGGAGAGCTCATCATCCCGCTGGGCTTTGTATTCATACATGGCTTTAACTGTGCACTACACACACACACACACACAGAATGAGAACACACACATGCACACACACTGTACATAGTCTAAAAAACTGTTGTCATGTGAATGGAGAGCAGATTTACCTTAAACGTGGGCATCTGATTGGCTTCCACATAGAATCCCGGGTTTCGTCCCTCATACAGAGACCCATAATCAGGCTCCTGCACACACACATTCAGACAAACACCTTCATTAGAGACCAAACTATTAAGTAGGGCTTAAGGATGCTGGAAAAATACACCATATTGGTCGAGTATTGCAATATTTTTTACCATATATAACAGTTTCCTCTGTAAATGTGTTTTTATTAGCGGTGTTTATTCTCAGGTTTGTTTTACTGAGATTAAAATAAACAGATACAATATAATTTTCAGATCTAATTCATTCTAATTTAGATTAGAAAAACTGTCAAACATTTAGGGCCCTGCCATACACTACTACAAATAGGTGTGTTTGGCGTGATTTTTCGCTATTTTCAGACCAGCGCAACTGTAATTTTCCCGTTTTGCACTACAATACAAATCTATTAGCGCCACTTTGTGGACTCATGGCTGTGCTGGTCTATAAAGGAGGTGTGTTAAGTCGCATTGCTATTTTGAGGAACTGAAATAGACTGCCATTGACCAACTAAAACTGCTGTAAAGTCCAGCGCCGAGCGCGTTAGTTATGCATCTATGCAGGTCCAAACGTTTACACATCACTTAATACACACAGGATTTAAAGCAAAACACAAATATATTTACATATGAAAACAATGAAAGAATTAAAATATTACAAACATTAATATTTTCTACATGAATATAAACACCACTGCCTCCATGCCTTCTTCATCTTGGGGGGCTTTTTCAGTTTATTCATGATAATCTGCATTATTATAATGTTGTTATTATTATTATTATTTATTATCTGCATATTTATTTTGCTTAAATTAAAACAAGTTTAGATTTGTCCACCTGTGGTGTTTTGGAGACATCTGCATCAGCATATGGAGAATAAGAACAGGACCTGTGTTTAAAAATAACTCAGTTGTTTGACCAAGTTTTAATATTATTGTTAATTAATTTGTTTGCTGGAAATCAGAACTGACTTTAGAAATAATTTTGAAGCAAATCTTTGCACTTAACAAATTGAATTAAATATGTGAGCTAATGCATGTCTTCAGTGGAGTGAGTACAACACTGTTTCCTTACTTCACCAAAGTAAAGGAGTAAAGAGTAAAAATAAAGTAAGGAAAAAGTAAAGAGGCTGAATGGAGGAGGCTCATTCTTTATCCTCGTGCTGCAGATGCTCTGTTGAACGGTTTTCTCGCTAGTGAAGCGTTCAGTTGTTCCACATAAAAAGTCCACCATTTAAATGGCAAATGCGCCATACAACTGACTGGTAAAGGGAATGCGAGATGAGACTCTGATTGGTTTAAAGCACGTTATACTCAAAACACACCCAGAACTGAGAGAATAAGCACAGCCCTGTTAGACCATGCGCCGGGGCACAGAGCGTATTTTTCCATCCTTAAAATAGCAAAAGTGGATTCAAACACAACCTTAATGCTCTCGCAATCATACACTTTAGTCTTTGCATCTAGATCGTTAGTCTTTGAAACACTATGCATGAGTGAAAACCTCAGCAGATGTTCTGACTCAGATTGTTGTTTCGACTCCTGCCATTAGTGTTTATTTTCAGTTCTGGGTTTAGCTTTGAGTTGCTCCAGCCAATAGCAGAACAGCAACTACTGAAGAGGTGGAGCTAAATATAGTAAGGCCCCATCTGATTGGTCAAATTTAAATAAAAAAAAGATGCATAAAATAAATATAATTTATTCCGTGTCTGTGATAAGTATACTGCAGTATACTATTAATCGCAAGGCTAAAAACGGAAATTAACGTAAACTAAATGAACTAGTATGAATAAAATAACATGTACAGTTGAAGTCAGATATATTAGCTTATTTTTATTAGTTTATTTTGTTCCCCAATTTCTACTTACCGGAGAGCAGATTTCTTCAACACATTTATAAACATAATAGTTTTATTAACTCATTTATAATAACCAATTTATTTTATCATTGCCATGATGACAGTAAATACTATTTTACAAGACACTTCTATACAGCTTAAAGTGACATTTAAAGGCTTAACTAGGTTTATTAAGCTAGTGAGGGTAATTAGGCAAGTCAATGTATAACAATGGTTTGTTCTGTAGACTATCCAAAACAAATACTGCTTAAGGGGGCTAATAATATTGACCTTAAAATGGTTTAAAAAGATTAAACACTGATTTTATTCTAGCCGAAATAAAACAAATAAGACTTTCTCTAGAAGAAAAAACATGATAGGAAATACTGTGATCATTTGACCTCAACTGTATTAAAAAAAAATAAAAATCAGCCAATCCGCTGATCATCCACCGATCATCAACCAATGGCTGCTGCTGATTTCAGGCAGATCATGAGATTTCAGTGGTCAGTGTTCATCACAGCAGGCCTACGGTTCCTCTCTACACACTAATAATAGAGTAAACGCTGGAGCTCATTCTGAGGAACTGCTGAATATCTGCCACGACAGTCAGATGAAGGAAGTCGACTAAAGTCAGCTCATGGAAACACCTATTCAAACAGCCCACACATGCACACACACGTCAATGTTTCAGTCCGCACGCCGTCAAACTGCCTACAGTATCCTGATCATATACACGAGCGCTTCATCAGAGCTTTTAAAGGTCCCATGAAATAAAAATAAAGTGTTTTAGATGTCAGCATCAGTATTGTTCATTTGCATGATAGCTATAAGCTAGTGCGCACCAAAACAGTGACAAAACATTTTATTTAGAATATAGAAAACTGATATAAACTTGTAAGGCTTGTAGTTTGTCACTTCCGCCTAAATCATACCTGCCAACATTAGTCTCCGATAGAGGGTGAGGTGTCTGAATAACACAGCTACTTAAGTTACTGTACTAATCACCGGGTTTCGGGCAGCCGCTGCGATCGGATCCTAAACCAAAGTCAGCAATCCGGGGCTGTTAACCGGAATATAAATTAGTAAATTACCCATGGCAACTTTAATGTAATATAGTTTGTTATATTTATCTTTGACCCACAACTCTCAAAGATAATTGGATTTTGGCCCTTCATACTAAACAGTTTGGGTACCCATGCTCTAGAGCAGAGGTGTCCTGACTCGGTTCTGGAGGGCCGGTGTCCTGTAGTTTAGCTCCAACGTCCTTCAACACAACCCCCTGGAAGTTTCTAGTATACCTAGAAAGAGCTTGAGTAGCTGGTTCAGATGTGTTTAATTGGGGTTGGAAGTAAAATACGCAGGACACCGGACCTCCAGGACCGAGTTTGGGCACATCAGTTTTCCCCGAGTTGGGGACATCAGAGTAGAGGTCTGCATGTGTCCTGTGACAGCGTGATGCTATGTTTAGCTTGTTTGTTGCTGTGTGTGCGTGTGTGTGTGTGTGTGTGTGTGTGTGCGCGCAAATGAGAGGTGTGTGTGTGTGTGTGTGTGTGGGTGCACGCGAATGAGAGAAAGAGCTTTGTCTGTGTGTGTGTGTTTGTGTGTGTGTGTTTATACAGACAGCTTGTTATAGGCTGTCTGGACTCTGTACAGCTGGGTGGTTTTCGGTTTTGTTCTAAGTGCCGGGTAGAAAATGGGGCGGGAAAGCAGCGGGACAACAAATGCTGAACATGAGCGGGAGCAGTCGGGTACGGGCTAAAACCTGGCGGAAGCCGGATTAAAAATTTAGTCCAGATCTCTACACCAGAGACTTATTGTACATCTTGTATAATAGGTGCTCTTTAAATGTTAGGGCGTGCTCACACTATATACAGTTGCCTTAAACCGGACCCGTCTTTAATCTACAACAGTTTGCGTTCATTGAACAGTAAGAATGATTAATAAATCCATATGAAACAGTCCCTTACAAGTCAAGTCTCGTCTTCAGGTTTGGGCTCAGGCGGGCTTTGCACTCAAACTACAAGCGTACCACCGCAAAGCCCAAGTGAAGCGCACTCTGGCACACCTCTTCTAGCCGGGCCAGGGCCAGCCAACGGAACCGTCCCTGAGCCCAATTTATCACACTTACACTTCTCAAACAATCCGGGAAACGAGCCTGGGCACGTTAGAGTGAGCTGTTTGATTAAGCACAGATAATGTACAGCAGGACTCACAGCAGTGCCGATCTTCTCCAGTGTTTCCTCGTTGATGGGGTAGCGCAGCTTCATCTTGCGGTACAGTGGATGTTTCTCATAGTAACTGATTAAATCGACTAAACTGTCGAACTCCGAGGTTCCCAAAACCACCGTCTGTCCCTCCTGCTGGACGCGACAGTGCTTGATCTTCCCTTCAGCCCTGGCAGAGCAAAGCAGAAGAGATGAGCAAAGCTACAACAAAGGCGCAAACATAATAAAATATAACAATACAATGTCAAATCTATAAAATCTAAAACAGGTAATCGGGGGCTCGTCCGGGATCGTTTGCAAATATTTTTTAGTTGGTTGTTGCATTTCCCTGCTGAAAAATCCAGCTTAAACCAGCCTAGGCTGGTTGGCTGGTTTCAGCCGGTTGACCAGGCTTGTTTTAGAGGGGTTTTGGCCATTTCCAGGCTGGTTTCCAGCCATTTCCAGCCTGGTCTTAGCTGGTCAGGCTGGAAAATGACCAGCCAAATCCAGCTAAAACCAGCTTGACCAGCCTGGTTTAAGCTGGATATAGCTGGTTTTGGCTGGACTCCCAGCTTGGCTAGGCTGGTCAAGCTGGTTTTAGCTGGTCATCTCCCAGCCTGACCAGCTAAAACCAGGCTGGAAATGGCTGGAAACCAGCCTGGAAGTGGCCAAAACCCCTCTAAAACCAGCCTGGTCAACCAGCTAAAACCAGCCAACCAGCCTAGGCTGGTTTAAGCTGGATTTTTCAGCAGGGTTAATTCAGATATTTTTTGGCTTTAAATATTTTAAAAATGTAATATTTTAATATTTCTTAAAATGTTATTGTACTGTATGTTTTTCCATGTTTACATCCTAAGATGTGACCTAGATTTAAGCACAAAACTGGAATATCGCATAAAACATTTGCAAATAAAGCAGCGTTTCCATCCAATGAGTAAAAGAGAACAACATCATCACTTCCTGATAAAATGTCGGCGAATGGCAACAAGAAAAACGATATTTAGTAGACGCCAAAGTGGGCCTATAAAGAATAAATGAGCAGTGTTAGTTGTGATACCATCACAACAAGTAGTGACACTATTAGCTAAGCTACATTTTTCAGTAGTGTGGCGGCAGCGTCGCTACTTTCTAAATATAATAGCTGTTCAGTAGCGACGTTGTTTAAAGTAAGTAGTGCAGTAGCGTCCACACAAGCTACATTTAGGAATTATTTCTGTTATATTTAATATATTGTAGTGTACAACACTATAGGGAAGTAATTACATTAATTTGATATATGAGCATTATCACACGAGTAGCAGTGCGATATGGCTGTATATCGGCACTGGTGGGAGGCGTGTGTTGGCATGAGGCCACAGACCGAGTGCCTTAGTGCCCCCACCAGTGCCGATATACAACCATATCGCACTGCTACTCGTGTGATATTGCGTTTATACAACAGTTTGACGACATAATTGTGTATATAAAAAAATCAAACATGGAGAGTCTCAAAAAACATTTTGTATGAGGAACTACTTTCTTCCAGATTAAAATCATAAGCTGACAGTTAAACAGCTGAGCAGCATCTTTTAAACTTTAGATCTGTCGTGTCTGCTCTTTGCTGGCTGTATGTGGGCGGAGTAATACACAAAGGGTAAAGAGGCTGTACGGGTGCTGATATTACTTAAATATATCACGGTTATCAGATTCGAGAACCAGACAGAACTGTTGTGTGTGTGTGTGTGTGTGTGTGTGTGTGTGTGTGTGTGTGTGTGTATATATATATATATATATATATATATATATATATATATATATATATATATATTTTTTTTTTTTTTTTTTTTTTTACTTTAAAAGCTAAAGTATGCCATTGTAATTGCTATTAGTTCACGATACTTACTAATAAAACTATATAGCTTGTAAATACTATTACACTATATACACATTACAATACACTTTCCTATATATTTCCCTTTACGATATATTACTATAATATTTTAAATGCGCAACACAGTAGTTCTTGAATTTTTGTTTTTGTTGTCTAGTAAACTTTGTTTCTGTTTGGAAAAGCATATTAACTGCAGTAAATAACTGAATTTAACAATTTTGCCGCATTTACTGATCACTAAGACAGAACTGACTTGGATTGAAGTTGCTTATGGAAAACAAAAATAGTTTGGATGTAGCTAAGCTAATTTTGGCATGTAGCTTTTAGCTTAGCATTCTACATTTCACAGGGCAGGTAGCTTTTAGTGTAGTTAAGCTTAATTTTAAGTAGATTAACTAGTAGCTTATCTCACTACATTTTCCAAGTAGCTTGCCCAACACTGTAAATGAGTTGTGCCTCAGAGGATGAAACGCAATGAAAGCAATGCGGTGGCTTTTGTCAGTGTGAGATGCTCTTTGGGAGCGCAGACACTCAAGACAGTTCTGGAGGTAATAATCATATGATAATAATACTGAACCACTGTGATGACAGACTTTTAGCTGAGGGATTTCAGAAAGACCAAAACAACATTTCAGATCTTTGACAATGTGCTCGCTCTGCTGGCTTGTCCATTAATGCCACATGTTTATCATCACATGATCTATTAAAACAGAATCACATGACTTTTTGCAATGAACATGCTGGAATTTATTCAGTAAATGTGTTTCTGTTGTAAATTATACACATTTACTCTTAATTTGATATTAGGTTTATCCTGCTCAGTTGTGCGCATATCATTTTAATGTGCATTTTCAACATTTTTGCACATCTTAGCGTTTCCATGTAGCTTGATTTTATTGATATATTCCAAAATGCACTTAAAATGGCTCAAAGCTAATGCCAAAGCAGCAGTTTGGAGTTTACCGGAAGGAAATGGCGAAAGAGTTGAATTCAGTTCTCTTCCTAACAAGGAAAGCACCGTCACGTGGGACCCTCATCAACATGTTTTCAGCCTGACTGCGGGACAGACACGCGTGGTACCACCTGCAACCAAAATAACAAACACACACACACACACACACACACACAAACACACACACACAAACAACAAAACATGCTGAAATTAGACTGGAAAAAAATTAAAGCAACAGGAAACTGCACACACACCCCCACAAGATCCACACTGCCAGACAAGAGTGTGTGGTCAGAACAACCTTTAAAGAAATGAATGCTGTTTTTAATTCAACACAGAAGCACAAGTGTTAGTAATGTTTAATAAGACTGATATTTAAAACACAGTCGACTGTCCTCAATATATACAGTTGAAGTCAGAATTATTCGCCTCCCTGTTTATTTTTTCTCTTAGCTTATGTTTAACGGAGAGCAGATTTGTTCAACACATTTCTAAACATAATAGTTTTAATAACTGATTTATTTTATCTTTGCCATGCTTAAAAGCTTAAAGTGACATTTACAGGCTTCATTAGGTTAATTAGGCAGGTTAGGGTAATTAGGTAATTATTGTATGATGATGGTTTGTTCTGTAGAAAAAAAATAGCTTAAAGGGGCTAATAATACTGACCTTAAAATTGCGTTTAAAAAATTAAAAACTGCTTTTATTTTAGCCGAAATAAAACAAATCAGACTTTCTCCAGAAGAAAAAATATTCTTAGACATACTGTGAAAATTTCCTTACTCTGTTTAACATCATTTGAGAAACATTTAAAAAAGAAAAAAAATTCTGTATTTTCTTCCTCTCAGCAAGAATATTAGTAGCTTTAAAGTTATATTGTATCATTGCTATGCAGATGGTGTGCTATTATACTTTTCTTTAAGCGCTAACAGACCAGACAATCTGTCTCTCGCAGGATTGTTTAGGCTTCATAACCAAATGATGGCAGACAATTTTCTACAACTGAACCCTGATGAAGCCGAGATGTTGATTTTTGCTCCAGATAGCATCACCCCAATGACCTCGCCATAGTAAGCTACGGTAACATAGCGCATATGAGATAAATGACGTCAGTATTTAATAGCCGGTTATGACTATTACTGAACCGATAGCGAATTGTCCACGTCTGCATCGCGGTGCATCGAAGAAACGATTAATTTTGTCACCCCTAAAAATTAAACAATTTTCTCGCCCTGGTGTGGTTTCAAACCTGTTTGAGTCTTTTTTTCTGTTACTGAACACTAAAGAAGATATTTTAAAGAATGCGAAGGCTGTCATAATTTCCTTATTTCTTCACAAATATCTTCTTTTGCGTTCAACAGAAGAAAATAAACTCAAGCAGGATGAACTGTCCCTTTACATAACAATTAAGCAAATATCAGCATTTAGACGAAAAAGGCGCATCCAAATAAGGACAGAAAAATTTTTAACAGGTAAAAACATCCTAAACATTCAACTGAATATTTTATTAAACTGATTTGATACTAGGCTGTGGCTCTAAACCAGCACTCAAATTGCCTGAAGGCTGATTTATACTTCTGCGTCAAGCGCACGTGTATGCTACGGCCTACGTGTGGACGCATAGCCCTCGCAGATGTGCACCTCTCAAAAAATGCAACTACACATTGCAAGAATGCATAGCGCAAGCTCTGTGATTGGTCGGCTTGGTATTGCTGACGAGTGTGGGCGAGACCGAGAGCCTTGGGAGTCCGATGGAGCGAGTTTTTATAAGTGTGGAGTCCCATGAAGGAGCTCCAGATGGAGACTGTTGTTTTGTGTAAACCTCATGGTTAAAGTTGTTGCATGTCCGCCGGTTCCTGCCTCAAAATGAGCAAGTTTGAGCCACTTGTACATTAAGCGTTCAGAAAAAACAGAACACCAGCGAAGAAACTCGACACAGAGGAACATAAACACCTCACTGCCAACTAGCGTTTCGGAAGCGTTACTGCAGACCAACATCAACAGTGCGCAGAAGTATAAATGCACAGCTACCCGTATTGCATGCGCCGTGAGTCACGCCGATCACTTGATGCAGAAGTATAAACCAGGCTTTAAGAGTATAAAAAGCGTGTAAGAGTTTAGATCGGTCAGCTGTTTGAGTGGACATGAGACTCACTCTTTGGTCTCGTGAGCGTTGGTTTGCGGCACCGGCTCGGTCAGCTTCATCTCGAACTCGTTGCAGCGCAGAGGAACCTGCTGGTAATGAGTGATGAGCGCAAACAGAGTGTCGAACACCAGGTTATCCGTCAGGTAGAACTTGGGACTTCCTGCTTCCTGTCGAGAGTGAATCCTGCAGTGCTGAACACGACCAGAGCGCCTGAGGAGATCAAACACACGTAAAGGATGAAGTAGAGGTGTAGTTAGGAGATGCAGAGGGTGTGTAGTAAAGGGTGGAGTAGAGGTGTAGTTACCAGAATACCAAAAAGATAGGGTGTAATAAAGTGTGTAGTAGAGGTGTAGTTACTAGATGCAGAGGGCGTGTAGTAAAGGGTGGAGTAGAGAGAGGTGTAGTTACCAGATGCAGAGGGTGTGTAGTAAAGGGTGGAGTAGAGGTGTAGTTACCAGAAGGAGAGGGTGTAGTAGAGGGTAGAGTGGAGGTGTAGTTACCAGAAGAAAATGTAGTAAAGGTGTAGTAAAGGGTGTAGTGGATGTGTCGTTACCAGAAGGAGAGGGAATAGTAGAGGTGTAGTAAGTGTGTAGTAGAGGTGTCGTTACCAGGAGAGGGTGTAGTAGAGGTGTAGTAGAGGTGTTGTTATAAGAAGGAGAGGGTGTAGTAGAGGTGAAGTTACCAGAATACCAAAAAGATAGGGTGTAGTAAAGGGTGTAGTAGAGTTATAGTTACCAGACCCAGAGGGTGTGTAGTAAAGGCCGGAGTAGAGGTGTAGTTACCAGAAGGAGAGGGTGTAGTAGAGGGTAGAGTAGAGGTGTAGTTACCAGAAGAAAATGTAGTAAAGGTGTAGTAAAGGGTGTAGTGGATGTGTCGTTACCAGAAGGAGAGGGTGTAGTAAAGGGTAGAGTAGAGGTGTAGTTACCAGAAGAAGATGTAGTAAAGGTGTATTAAAGGGTGTAGTGGATGTGTCGTTACCAGAAGGATAGGGTGTAGTAGAGGTGTCGTTACAAGAAGGAGAGGGAATAGTAGAGGTGTAGTAAGGGTGTAGTAGAGGTGTCGTTACCAGGAGAGGGTGTAGTAGAGGTGAAGTTATCAGAATACCAAAAAGATAGGGTGTATTAAAGGGTGTAGTAGAGTTATAGTTACCAGACCCAGAGGGTGTGTAGTAAAGGCCGGAGTAGAGGTGTAGTTACCAGAAGGAGAGGGTGTAGTAGAGGATAGAGTAGAGGTGTAGTTACCAGAAGAAAATGTAGTAAATGTGTAGTAAAGGGTGTAGTGGATGTGTCGTTACCAGAAGGAGAGGGTGTAGTAGAGGATAGAGTGGAGGTGTAGTTACCAGAAGAAGATGTAGTAAAGGTGTAGTAAAGGGTGTAGTGGATGTGTCGTTACCAGAAGGAGAGGGTGTAGTAGAGGATAGAGTAGAGGTGTAGTTACCAGAAGAAGATGTAGTAAAGGTGTAGTAAAGGGTGTAGTGAATGTGTCGTTACCAGAAGGAGAGGGTGTAGTAGAGGTGTTGTTACAAGAAGGAGAGGGAATAGTAGAGGTGTAGTAAGGGTGTAGTAGAGGTGTCGTTACCAGGAGAGGGTGTAGTAGAGGTGTAGTAGAGGTGTTGTTACAAGAAGGAGAGGGTGTAGTAGAGGTGAAGTTACCAGAATACCAAAAAGATAGGGTGTATTAAAGGGTGTAGTAGAGTTATAGTTACCAGACCCAGAGGGTGTGTAGTAAAGGCCGGAGTAGAGGTGCAGTTACCAGAAGGAGAGGGTGTAGTAGAGGGTAGAGTAGAGGTGTAGTTACCAGAAGAAAATGTAGTAGAGTTGTAGTAAAGGGTGTAGTAGAAGTGTCGTTACCAGGAGAGGGTGTAGTAAGGGTGTAGTAGAGGTGTAGTAAGGGTGTAGTAGAGGTGTCATTACCATAAAGAGAGGGAGTAGTAGAGGTGTAGTAAGGGTGTAGTAGAGGTGTCGTTACTAGAAGGAGAGGGTTTACTAGAGGAGTAGTAGTGGTGTAGTTACCAGAAGGAGAGGGTGTAGTCTCCTACAAAGGTCTCGCTCTCCCGCACTAGGAAGGATCCGTCTGGAGCTCCAGTCTCCACGCAGTACTCAGACAGCAGGCGCTCTGCGATCTGACGGCCGTCACGACCTGCACCCAGTTTACCATGAAACCACTTCTCCGTCACATGCTGGTCCATACCGTTGCAGATCTGAGGAGCAGAGACAGACAGACATGATCATTAAACCAGATCAAGATCACATGATGCATTACGGTAGATTAACGTCTGCTACTCTGATGACCAACTCGAGTATAACAGAGGAAGATTTAGTTCACTTGAACATCAGACTGTGGCTCCACTTTTAGACAAACCCTCGCAAACTTTCCTTGCCGTGTTCCCTCGAGGCAATCCTCACTGTCCTATTTAAGTGCATCCCACTTCATCGAGGGAACCAGGGAAGCTAACATGGACATATCCTTGATCCTTTGATTTTGACAGAGGGAGTGAGTCTGATTCATATGTCCACTCCAGCACCTTTATGTCCCAAGTGCTCAAGGGTTTAGGGCAGGGGTGTCCACACTCAGTCCTGGAGGGCCAGTGTCCTGGAGAGTTTAGCTCCAACTGTAATCAAACAACCTGAAGCAGCTGATCAAGCTCTTACTACATACAAGAAACTTTGGGGAACGTGTGTTGAAGCAAGTTGGAGCTAAACTCAGCAGGACACCGGCCCTCCAGGACAGAGTTTGGACACCCCTGGTTTAAGGTATTCGATTTAAACAGATTCAGATGCTTCTCCAGTAGTGGACACTTGTGTAACGTAATTCGAGGGAAGTTAGCGAGTGAAGGGCATTAAAAAAAAAAAAATACTGCATTTTCCTCACCTCTCTGTGCTCCTCCTCATCCTCGTTCCCTTGATTACTGGACGTCTCTTCAGAGTAATAGATCTTATTGCTGGTCAGAACAAAGAAGTGTGGATACCACTCCTATGAGAAGACCAAACACAGCAGCAGTGAGCACTAACTAGGTGTCTGAAGACAAACAGGAAGTGCATTTACAGATTTCAATTAAAGATTACAAGGGTAAACATTTGTTTTGTTAATGACGTGCATGGACTCAGAATTAGCAATGTGTGCTAACAAAATCGACAGGGTTAGATTTGATTTCATGTGTACTTTAAAGGAATTAGTTTTGTGGGGGAACCAAACAAGATCACTCTGAGAACATAAACGTATATCATGGCTATTCTGACATTTTAAAGAGCCCCTATTATGGGTTTTTGAAAATGACTTTCTATTTAGTGTTTAACACAGCTCTAAGTGAAGTGAAATATCCAGCTAAGGCTTAAATCTGAAAGTGCACAGTGTTTAAAATTATTGATTCATCTATAAAAGAGCCGACTCCTAGTGATAGAATGAATCGCCTTGATAACAAGTCTAACTGTTTCGGCGTGACGTTGATACAAAACGTAAGCCATTGTTGCACACTCAAACTTGGAAAAAATCGAAACCTACGGCCCCGCCCACAAACACTGCAGCAAATCTCATTTCAATAAAGTCATGAAGGCGCTGTGCTCAGCTGGATATTATTGGAAGTGTGAAAGTTAGTGCTACTTTCTCTACCCAAAGATGAAGCTGTGAAGAGTCAGGGGTTGAGGTTTATTTTTGCAAAAATACCTCAGCATTGTAGCCCCAGCCTTGTGTTGTGTTTCTGTCATTTTTCTGACCAGTGCTTCTGGAATCTACACGATTACAACGAGGGATTCGTCAGCTGTTTGTTAAAGGAAGGATCAGAAAAGACTATTAATGTGTGGGACTTTGTCAGAGCTCGACAGGATCTTTATCAGCACATGAATCAGTGGATCATGGATCAGTTTTTTCCTCCACTTCACAAGTGTAAGTAAGTGTGATTAAAAAAGTTCCCTCCTTGTTTTCTCATGCTTGAAAATAATGTATTTATTTGTGTTTTGTTACTTGTAACCGCTTGTACTGTCTCTCATGAACTCTTGATATTGTCATATTACGTCCAAAACCACATTTAAAATTTGACACATGCCGCTTTGTTTACGGATTTAAATGCGTTTGAGAGCACGCGTTCCACTGCCGTTTGTCATTGCTATGGCCACCGTCAGCCGTCCCTACACACATGCGGTGATCAAGCTTCAAAATAGTTCAGCTTCTGCAGCTGTGTGGATTAATACAGAATGTGTGTCATGGTTAAGAATAGAGCAGTATGCTGGTGTTTAACTGCACTGCTTTAATGCACTCCTGCATTGGGCTCAAATGAAGCCTGTTTCGGGGCAGCTCCTGCGATTGGATCCTATACCAATGTTGGCGACCTGGTGGTTTCAGACCGTACCAAAATGCAGGGGGTGGGGGGGTATGGAGTGGTTAAATTTACGGGAGTTTTCCGGGATAAATAACAAAACGGGAGGGTGGCGGGAGATGGGTCTGAAATACGGGAGACTCCCGGGAAAAACAGGAGTGTTGGCAGGTATGCTCACACATACTCTCTGCACTCTGACTACTGCAATATTGTTGATAAGGACAATATATTTCTCTCTGTCTCGTGCTGAACGCAGTCAACCAATCACAACAGGTTGTCACCAGTCCAATAAGCGCAGATTAGCTTCGCACTAAGAAGGGGAACAAATGAGTCGCTGAATGATCATATGGGAGTCACTGGGATAATTATGTAAAAAATAAATGCATATAAGACAATGAACGTGTTTTTTTCACCTTGAACACATATCAGCATGTTGTTGGAGACCCTTAAAACCAAAATATGACCCTTTTTAAAGTATGATAGGGGCTCTTTAATGCCATAAAACATCCTACCTCGAATGCTACTGGAATGTTTTTGTGATAACAAAGAAAAACATGTTCAAAACACGTTTCTTTTAACATTTCCATGTGGTTCTGTTGTAAAGTAGATGAAGACTGGCTCACGTGGTTGATGGGGTCCTCCAGGTACAGGATGCCGTTCTTGATGGAGTTGCTGATGTCGTTCTCTGAGTAGGGTGTTGAAGACGACACCTCCTCGTACGCACTGCCCTCCGCTAACTTCTTGTGCTGAACACATCAATGCAACAATGAAGGAGCTTTAAACGCAATTTTAACGCATCATTAAAATCCAAAGTTGTGCTTGCTAACATTAACATGAACGAACACTAACTTCAATAACATTAACCAAGCTCCACAAATGAGTGTTTAGCAGTATCTCTTCATTAGCCGTTAGCACAGAGCGTCCTCCTGACCTTGATGAGGATCTTCCTCTTGAGCTGGTGTGGCGAGGGCAGGCCGTCTGCTGAAATGTCCACCGCTTTGGTCAGCAGCATCTCCCCAAACACCTTCTTGAAGAAAGTGGCCATGTTTCTCTGCTGGACGATGCTGCAGTGGTCCTCGATGGAGAGGATGATGGGATAGCTGAACGCAGACACACATGGGATGGCACAGAAACATTGCATGACATTGCATTAAAAACGCATAAGTTTAGCTACGGTTATGCTATCCATCCACACTACGCCAGAGTTTTCGAAAAAGGGGTGTTTTGGAAACGCTGGAGAGGCCGTTTTCATTCTGAAACGCTGCTGCTCCGTCTCAGTGAGGATGGGGGAAAACGGAGACATCTGAAAAAGGAGGCGGGGCTGCTGAGATTCGCTACCTGATTGGGACTTTTGTGTCATTGCGTATTCTTCCCTATCACATGACTATAACACACAGCTTTAACGCTACCGGAAGACAGTACTGTAAACAACAACATGGACACAGAAATGGGAGCGTTGTTTGCACTATTGTCTGTTTTAGGCGCCATTGTGCAGTTATTCATTTGTTACGTTTAGTAACAACTCGACCTCGTCGTCTGTCCACAAACATACCTCTCTTGCTTTCTTTGCCATCGCGTTCATTGTTCAACCGGCGTTTGTTGACTAACAATAACCAAATGCCGAGCGAGACGCATGCTTTCTGTTTATACTAGAACACGCATGCCCAGAGTGCGCGAATGGTCACGTGATATATGTTTTTGGTGTCGTAGTGTGGATGGAGATATGTTCAGAGACGCTAGGTGAAAACGCTAGTGTGGACGCGGATTGTTTTTGATCTAAAACGCCGTTTTCAAACTAAAACACACTAGTGTAAACAGGGCCTTAGGCTGTACTCACACTAGGTACAGTTGCCTCGAACCAGGCCAAAGCACGCTTGTCCCCCCTCCCGTCTCCCCCGACGGCCCGCGCTCACACCACAAACGGGCTTCGGCACGCTTACGTCATCGCTGCTGCACTGTTCAGTGAGAAGCGCTCTCTCACTCAGCAGCACAGTGGAGATTTCTCTAGTTATATTGTTTCAGTCATTTGATATGCCGTCAAATATTTTACCAAACAGTCCTTAGGGATGCAGTGACACGCAGTCAGATATTTCGCCGAACAGATCCGCCAGTTTTGGCACTCAAAAACAATCATAAAGCCCTCGTGCTGCAGGAATATGGAGGTTTGCTGAAGGTGCAGCTGTCGTGCTGTGAGGAGTTTGCGTCTTTAATAATCTACGGCAGTTTGCGTTCACTGAACAGTAAGAATGATTAATAAATCCATATGAAACAGTCCCTTAAAAGTCACGTCTCGCTTTCAGTTTCGGGCTTTGGCGCGTTTTGCACTCACACACAAGCGTACCAAGCCAAAGCCCAAGTGAACCGCGCTCAGCCCCACCTCTTCCAACCGGCCAGGGCCGGCCAAGTGAACCGTGCTTGAGCGCGATTCAGCGCACTCACACTTCTCAAACGATCCGGGAAACGGGCCTGGGCACGGTACGGATAGCATAGTGTGAGTAGGCCCTTAGTGAAAAAGATCTCTATACACTGCAATAAAGTGTGATTTCTGTGTCTGGTTTCTAGTCCAAATATCAAGAAGCATTTTCTAAACGAGCCTAAAACATTGTCATGTTTTCCGAAATAATAGATTAAAGGGCACCTATGATGCAAACTTTTGCTCAAATTTTTATTTCAAGATCAACCTTTGTAAGCTGTTTAGACAGAACTGTGTGTAGCTATAGTGTGTCCACAGTCATACTGGAGTGATATAAAGGGAATTCAAGAGTTCACACTTAGCTGATGATTGTTAATAAGCTAGTTTGGCATGCTGTCCCAGGAGAGAGCCCTGAGCACATGAGATCCTTGAGCCTGGGGCTCCCACCCATTTGCAGGACGAGAGGGGAGTTTGAGAGTGTGTGTGTGTGTAAAACACTCACTCAGACGTGACGAATGCATGCTCTTTGATGGTGTTGAGCACATCACTGAACTTGATCTTGGTGGTGAGGGTGTGACCGTGATAGATGACAGGCATCCCGTCAGGACCGTCCCAGCAGTCCACTGCACACACACAAACACAGGTCACAGATCAGAAGAACAGATGTTAGTCTAGCCCACTACACAGAAAGTTGTAGTCTATCTACATCAAACCTCAGATCCTACAATAAATAAATCAAACCAATATCACACAAACTATAAAACGCTTGCTTTTGCTTTATTTTAGTCACTGCATATTAACAATACATTTAGAAAAATGACAAAAACCAACAGAAGGAAAAACAAAATGGAAGAAAAAAAGATAAGCCAAACCAAACAAAAGAAGCTTAATTTAAAAACAATCAACAAAACAAACTGAATGAGAAAAGGGGACAAACAAATGAAGCAAAATAAATAAACTTATAGAAAATTAAAGAAACCAGATTAAAGAAAGGAATGAAGAAAAGACAAAACACAGGAAACCAAATAAAAAACAAATAAACACACCAAGAAAACAAAAATGGAAAAAAAGCAAAAACAAATGAAAGAACAAAACTAAATAAACCACAATAAAAAGAAAGGGTCATTTCATTTTTGTTTATTTTTTTTCTAGAAACAATAAAAGGAAAACATAAGACAGAAGTATAGAACTATATGAAGCTAATACGAAGATAACTGAACCTGCAATTCATTGAAATTCCACTAGGCTTGGCTCTAAAATGGAGCACATTTCTATTGACCCCAATGTTAAAATGGCCGAATTTACAGCAGAAGAAAAGGTGTTTCCAGCCTGGTACACAAAACGATTTTGGTGTATACAGCTAATATTACCCTTCATGACAACTGTGAGGGGGTGAAATTTTTTTACAACTCATCCATTTCATTTATATTAGGTCTGCATAATTAAGGGCGTGGCCACTTGAGTGACAGCGAGGTCTCGCTGATCATCATAACATCACCTTCCGGCTGTGATTAGCTGCTGAACTCAGCATATACTGTGCACCGTGTTTTTGTTTTGCTTTATGTGGCTTTACACAGTCAATTGCACAGTCAAAATATTAGTTTTATTTAAGATAATGTTTAATTTATAATGTTTTTTAGAGCTGTAATGCACTCCAGATTGATTAGCGGTAGGCTCCGGAACAATCATCAGAAGCATTGTCATACAGTGTTATGGCTGGATTTCATCAATAGCCTTGCATTTATGAACACAGACTATATATAATATAAGTGTTTGGAAGTAATTCACGTTTCCTCCTGTAGTAAAACATCAAAAGAACAATTTTAATGGCTCAAATGTATCATAACAGCGTTTTAAAAGACTAAACACTTTATTGGTATAGTGTACAACCAAACACGTGGTCAGAACACAAACGAGTCGCAGGTGATTAAGTATTAAGTGTTTCTCTCAAAAAAAAGCCTGTCTAAGCAAAATGCCAGCAGACGTCTGTAGCTCCGCCTCTTTGCCCTTGTTTGGTATCCCCAGTCAGTGCGACGACGTGCGAACAAAACGGCGACGGTTGGCCACGCCCCCTTGCAGCTTTATTTGCACTCTTGAGCTACATCCATATCTTTTACAGTCTATGTATAGAACCAAGAAAAAGAAATCAAACAAAAGAAACCAAATAAAAACTAAATAAAACCAAAATTTTTTTACTTCCTTAAAAAATAAAACAATAATAAAAAACCAAATAAACAAAAGGAACAGATATACTTGATTTTTTTTAACCAATTAAAAATGTAAATAAATGCATAATATTATATGTGTACATATGGTCTGCTAGTTTTACTACTTGTTGGACCAAGTGAAAAAATATACAGGGTATTCTGTTCTACACCCATAGATATATACATTAGATGTCACCTGGTCTATTGTTGTCTATTGGACGGAATGTGTCAATAGCGCCGCCATCTTGCTACAGGGTAGCGCTCTTTTGAAATGAATGCGGGACGAAGGTACAGTGGAGGACTGTGGCCATCCAAAGCAAGAGATATACACACATACACATATATCTGTGATCGGGAGTTTTCCTGGATGTTAGTGTGTCATTTTTTTTTCTAATTACGAAAATTATAATTTTACATCACTTTTCTACATTGATGGATCAGTGACCGCACGGGCATTCCTGACAAAAAGTGTGTTTGTGTGTACAGAAATGTACTATTCACCCTGCCTGTTAAATCTGATCTAATCATGTCCTGAAACACAGCTCCTCTCCTGCTTTCACTTCTCATACTGACGGAGGGAGCGATTCGTTTGTGAATGAATCCCCTGAACGACTCTTTCACTAACGTTAGCCGACAATAATACAAGTTTCTGGCAGCGCAGCATCTCGTTGTCATATTTCTTTTGCATTGTTTGCTGATTTTATTCAACAAAACTAGCATAAGCCGAGTGTTTAGTGCGAGTTGGAGCTGCTTTGCCGTATGGTGAATGCAGTAAGTGACTGTTATCATCAATAACGTTACCTGATTAGCACAAAAGCACAGAACATACAAAAACAGAAAAAAACTTAATATTACCTATGAAATGTTCTGCCTTTGTGCTTTGTTTTCTTTGTTTGCTCGTTACTACACCCGTAGACAGCGCTAAAGTCCCGCATCTTCACGTAATAACACTGTCTTGACTAGTGTGGTTGAATGACACTTGTCCTGGGAGCACTGTACCAATGTGGCGGCGCTATTGACGCATGCTCAGGGTCACTATGCGATATCTAGTGTATATATCTATGTTCTACACCGACTTACAAAAGGCTTCATTATCAGCATCAACAGTGCTGGGTTCCACACAATCCCTTCATGTCGTCCCAACACAAATCGATTAAGTTAACTTGATAGGGATGTAACGGTATTGTAAATACCGTCATACCGCAATATTATTTTTTTTCGATATTACCGTAGTCGCATGACTCGGTAAAACTATAGATCTTCTGAGAAAATTTGCTCAGGCGAATGAAGCGAACGGGAGGTACCGGAAACTACAATTCCCATCAGCCCAGGCTAGGCCATAATCCCTTGCGGTCTGTTGTCGCTACAGATCCAGTAATGCGGAAATGGAGTGTGCTGCTAGAAGCGGGGATGAAAAAGAGCTGGAAAACCCTAAAACGGGTGTTGTCGCCGCGCGCGTACTGAATAGCGGTGTTGTCGCGCGAGTTCTTATCAGCTGTGTTGTCGCGCGCGTACTGAATAGCGGTGTTGTCGCGCGAGTTCTTATCAGCTGTGTTGTCGCGCGCGTACTGTAAAGCGGGGACGGAGGGTATGTCGCGTCGTGGGGGCACTTTTGATCATTTTGGAAGGGAACTTTCTATCCAAGACTAAAAAGGGCATGTGCACTGCACAGGTTGAGCCCTGTGTGTGCATGTGCCTGCAAGTTGGGGAATACGACTAATCAGTCATGGGGACTGCAGAAACACAGCACACTGTTCAGACTGATGCAGACATGAGATCTCTATCTCACTCATGGTTTGTCCTCTCAAGTGGGGGAAAGACAATGCACAACGTCACCCACTGCTGTCAACCTGGGCCAAGTCATATCTCTCTGTCCCAGAAACCTCAGTCCCAAATGAGAGGGTTTTTTTCTGTTGCAGGGGACATTGTAAATGCCCAGAGATACCAGCTTTTACCAGATTATATTTATATGATAATTTTCCTTTAAACCCATCTCTATCTAAGTGAGCGAGTGATTAAATGTTGAATGTGATGAGTTTTCAACACTACTAAACTTTTTTTACATGGTTTAATATTTTTTTGTTATTAAAATTAAAGTTCCTGTTTCAAAGCTTACAGATAGATGCCTAATTTGTATGTCATTGACACTTTTGGCACTTTTTGGAGCATTTTCATAAGTTTTGTTTTTTCCTGTAAATGATTAAATAAATACCGTACCGTGACATTCATACCGAGGTATTACCGTACCGTGAAATTCTGATACCGTTACATCCCTATAACTTGATGTTTGTTTGTTTTTTATCTTAAGTTGGTTGTACACTAAATAATTAAGCTGTCCAAAAAAAAAAAACTCAGTAGTTGTGTTAATTCAGCTCATTTTAACTAAGTAGTTTGAACAAGCAGCAGAGTGAAGCTACTAGTTTAAAAACTGCAGTATTATGCAGTAAACTGCAGTGTGTGTGTACTAATGTGTGTGTGTTGTGTCTTACACTCGATGCATCTGCAGCCCATGCGCAGACAGCGGGCGTACGCCTCCAGAGACGACTCGCTGGAAAACTGGTCCCCCGTCAGATAGCTAAAAATACACACAACACACACACACACACACACGTCAGGGCATGACAGATCAACAATCCACACCTTTATTAAAGCCCAGACAGGCAAATAACCTTTACAAACACCTTCAGGAATGCTTTCTGCTCGGTCAGACTTTACCTGCTTCTGTCTGAAGCACACAACAGCTTCATCAACAAGACACACCGGTTAAACACACACACACACGCACATCGTAACTGTTTAAGTCATGCAAGAAACAACAATCAGCATCAAAGAGCCATTGAGTTATGAACTGAAAGTACAGCGCAGGTTCAGTTTAACTTGAGTGCTGTTGGGGGTGTTTTCATCCACTCTGGGCTGATTTTGAGTCTCAATTTAGCCATAACTTTCTCTGTTTCAGCAAATGGAGGGATTTTTGCCGATAAATCTTATTTTGACACATTTTGTGATGATTTGAACATCTTCAAAAACTCAATGCATTCTGGCCAATTATACAACCATTTCCTTATGTTTGTTTGTTTGTTTGTTTGTTTGTTTGCTTTATTTATAGAGCACATTTAAAAACAACAGATGTTGACCAAAGTGCTTTACAAAACGACCAGCATACAAAATCTATACCTATATAAAAATTTTGCAAAATATATAAAACAGATTAAAATTAAATTAAGAGACAGAAGGTGATTTTTTAGATGAGACTTAAAAGCACCAAGTGAAGAACATGACCGGATCTGTAAAGGCATGTTAGGGGCATGTCAAAGCCATGACACCATACACCTGACCAAAGTTTTGTGGAGGATCCCAGTCTTATTTGTTGTAATTCGGCTAGAATAAAAGCAGTTTTTAATTTTTTAAACACCATTTTAAGGACAAAATTATTAGCCCCTTTAAGCTTTGTATTTTTTCGATAGTCTACAGAACAAACCATCATCATACAATAACTTGCCTAATTACCCTAACCTGCCTAATTAAACTAATTAACCTAGTTAAGCCTTTAAATGTCACTTTAAGCTGAATATAATTGTCTTAAAAATATCTAGTCTAATATTATTTACCGTCATCATGGCAAAGATAAAATAAATCAGTTATTAGAGATGAGTTATTAAAACTATTATGATTAGAAGTGTGTTAAAGAAATCTGCTCTCCGATAAACAGAAATTGAGGAAAAAAATAATTCAGGGGGGCGAATAATTCTGACTTCAACTGCATATAGATATATTTACATGAAGTGAAGCTTTTTTTTTCCCTCTCCGCTGTCGCCACTGCCTCGCATGGTTCAGGATTGGTAGAGCTACGCATCGATGAATTGGCTCTTCAGTGTTTGAACTCTCAGCAATGATTAAATCACACTGAACTGAGCTAAACTGAACTGAACTGAACTTAAACACTAAAACCTGAACTACACTGTTCCAGTTACTATAACCATTTATGTGAAGCTGCTTTGACACAATCTATATTGTAAAAGCGCTATACAAATAAAGCTAAACTCTTCAATTCAATTCAATTCAATTCAGATGCAAAACCCTCTAAATCCAGATTTATTTTCTTGTAAATGAGCCTTTTCTAACTCAAGCCTATAACTAGGTTTAGAAGTTTCATGTAACAGGTAATGATAAGGTTATCAGCTGTTTTTCAAAAATGTCACTTTAGACAATTTTTTGGCTTTTAACAAGGGAGATTTTCTTTTGTGTTAAAACCAGCAAAATCCACTTGAAAAACCTCTAACCCCACATTCACACGGGGCTTCAGCGTCAACGCTTGACTGAAGGCGTGTCTGAAGTTGGGGCTGACGCGATCGTCATAGAAGCGTCAGCCAATGAAATTTAGGCCCCGTTTACACTAACGTGTTTTCGTTTTAAAACGCATAAGTTTTGCTACGGTTATGCCATCCGTCCACACTACGCCGGAGTTCTCGAGCGCCGAAAACGGAGCGTTTTGAAAACGCTGGAGAGGCTGTTTTCATTCCGAAACGCTGCTGCTCCATCTCAGTGTGGATGATGGAAAACGGAGACATCTGAAAACGGAGATGAGATTCGCTACCTGATTGGGGCTTTTGTGTCATTGCGTATCCTTCCCTTATTCGTCAAGCCCCTATCACATGAATATAACACATGGCTTTAACGCTACCGGAAGACAGCAGACCAGCCTTCACTGTAAACAACAACATGGACACAGAAATGGGAGCGTTGTTTGCTCTATTGTCTGTTTTAGGCGCCATTGTGCAGTTATTCATTTGTTATGTTTAGTAACAACTCGACCTCGTCGTCTGTCCACAAATACCTCTCTTGCTTTCTTTGCCATCGCGTTTAATGTACAACCGGCGTTTGTTGACTAACAATAACCAAATGCCGAGCGAGACGCATGCTTCCTGTTTATACTAGAACACGCATGCCCAGAGTGCGCGAATGGTCACGTGATACACGTTTTTGGTGGCGTAGTGTGGACGGAGATATGTTCAGAGACGCTAGGTGAAACGCTTGTGTGGACGAAGATCGTTTTTGATCTAAAACGCACTAGTGTAAACGGGGCCTTAGTCAGAAATAGGCCACTGTCTAGCTGGTGTATTTACATACAGCTATCTGATTGGCTGACGCTTCAGTTGGCTCTTAAAAAGTTGAGCTAGTCCCAACTTCTGCAGCGAGCAACGCCTCTGAAGGGGCGCCGATGGATCCACAATGCAGTTCGGTAAATCCACCTACTGGGACAAGACAATCCAGTATATGTTTTACACAGCAAATGCTCTTCCAGCTGCAATCCATCACTGGGAAACATCCATATCCACTCATTCACACACATACACAACAGACAATTTTAGCACACCTAATTCCCCTATATGTCTTTGGACTTGTGGGGGAAACCAGAGCACCCAGAGGAAACTCATGCCAACATGGGGAGAACATGCAAACTCCACACAGAAATGCCAATCAGACATTTAATTCAACTCAATGTTTACTAAGAGAAACACAAGACTTTGATAGATGTGTTTCTGAGATTCTGCTGGTTGTTCAACAACACTCTTTAGTTTTTAGACCTGCGGTTGACATGTATGAATCAGATTTCGTAAATATTTGGGACACTTATGATTCAGAGCATCTGCGATACTATCTCCAGAAATAAGAGGCTTCAAACTTGTCCAGAAACACTTAATTAAAAGTGGAGGAGTCTCTGAGGATTAACTCAATACTTTAAACCAGCAAATACTACCCAACACACACACCAACCAACAAACCTTTAACAAATATCTAATACTGTGGTTGCCTGAGGTTGGATTGTTTTGTAAAACTCTAACAACAAACTAACCGACTGACAAACCAAAGAACAACCCAGCGATCCCAATCATCAACTGTTTTTAGTTCTTTCAGGAAGTGTAACCTCATACAAAACAACCAACCAACCTGCTCTTATTCCATAATCTACTATTACCAAACAACGATAACACTTTAGTTTAGGTAACAATTCACACCATTTTCTACTGGATTATACCTGCCTGTTATTAAGATACCAACTGTTTATTAGCACTTATGCCTCGTTTCCACTGGTACAGTACGGTACAGTTAGGGTCACCTTTATCAGGCTTGCGTTTCCACCACAAAGGGTACCCTTTTAGTGTGCGTATGACAAAATTTAAGTCGAAGTCATGCTCGCTTGAATAAATGTCTACAGTAAAGCTGTACGGGTCGTTCACATATCATTATGAGCAGCACTTCTCACAAAACAGATGCTTTACACATATAAATACTTGTCTATAAATGTTTATTACTTACTTTTCTATGAACATGATTTGATTATAACTGCAGATCAATGACGGTGCTAAATAGCCTACTGTAACGTCTATAATTATATAAAATAAATACATAAATGCAACATATATGGACACATAAAGCCCCTTACAGTCTCCGATATATTATTAACTACAGAAAAACTACAAATATCATACATTTAGTACTTATTTGAGTTCAAAAACACACGCAATATAGCCCACGGTCAGCGCAAACCTCTCATCTGTGTCTGTAATCTTCAGCAGCTCATGTAAGCTCTGTTAGAGAGTCATTTTGTCATTCCCAGTTCATAATAATCCAAAAGACGAAGATAAACATGGCAGTTTGTTCATGATCAGGTTGCTAAAACAATTTTGCTCCAGTGTTTTGACGGCTTCTCTTTTTTTCCCCCCGTTTCACTCTCGCGCTTGTCCTTTTTTTCCTGAATGGATCAGATGACGGAGACGCTTCAATAATCGCACTCACGTTATTATCATCAGCTCAAGAAGTTCATTATATCAAGTATAGATGCGGTGGCGGGCTCCCGGAAGAAAGCGAATACCGCTGGCACTTTTAGACGGGCTCATAAAACAACAAGACACGGCAGATTTTACTTCTTGGCTTTGTGTCTGTTCATCGAGAAGACGACAAGGTTTGTTTGAGCCCGGTTCATCCCATTATTATATGCATATAAGATTTTCATGTAATGTCTCGGCCTTGTATTTAAAAAAAACATGGCGGTTCCTTTGTTTACGTTCTGTGTAGCTCCACGAGCTTGTGACGTATCTCTGTAACCAATCAGCGTTCATCTGCACGTGTAGTTCCACCTTTTGGTACTCTTTCTCCTGTTTGGTACCCGTTTAAAAGGGTGGCGAAAAAGTGGTACAGTACGGTTCGGTACGCTTTTTGACCAAGGAAACGGCCGTAAAAGCGTACCAAACCGAACCGTACCGTACCACTCAGTGGAAACGGGCCATTATATAGTATGATCTTTTTTTACATCCATAATCTAAACCCAACTACTCCCTTGCTAACTATTAATAAGCAGCTAATCAGTAGTTTATTGAGCTAAAAGTCTTAATTAATGGTTTGTTAATACCATACACTGTACATTAAAAAGTAAAGCTGGACCAAACGAATTAAGACCAAACAAACAAATAATTTTATACACTACCAACAAACAAAACGTCTACATCAGCAAAGATTCAGGCTCTTTGAGGAGGATTAGTGTTATATTTAACCTAAAGCCTAGTTTCCACTGAGCGCTAGAGTTTACGTCACGCTCATCGGGCTTGTGTTTCCACAGCCAACAAATGCTGTCATCTTTAACTCATCCTTCAGTTGTTCAAAACCGGTTTGACTTTCTTCAACACAAAAGAAGATATTTTGAAGAAACCCTAACCCGACTTCCACACTCACTTGCTCTTCCTGCCCTTGATGTCAGTGACTACATTTACATGGACATCAGTAATGGAATTATTTGCCTTAATCTAATTGAGAGAATAATAAGATTAAGGCGTTTACATGAGTTGCTTTTTGAGTGTAACTTTCATGATCCCGTTTTACAAGCACATACTTAGGGTGCTTACACACCTGTGAATCGATCCAGTTGTTCCGAAATTACAAATGTTACATTGTTGCTCTTTGCTCTTGGACCGGTTTGCTTTTACACGGCAAAGTTTCTAATTAGACCAAAAGAGCTAAAACAAGTCACGTGTGAGTAAACTCTCCTCCCATTGGTCAGAGTGTCAGGGCTTATTTTGCAGAGTCCCGCTCAGCTGTCAGGAGAGGTGGTGGTTTGGTGGTGTTTGACAAGGTGCACGCGACGTGTCTGAAGAGTGAGGAGAGATTCAGTGGGGAGGGTTGAGAAGGGTGCGTGACGTAGCCTATTTGAGGACCGGGAGGGAGACGCGAGATTACCGGGAGAATATCACTCGTTTGCGGGCATCCGGAGACTCCCGAAACTTCCCGCCCTACTCGTAATTCTCTCTTCATATAGCTGTACGAGTATTACAAATCCATAAAACACAATAGCTGCGTCTCAAATGGCACACTATACACTCATGCACTATGTACTTATGCACTTACACACTCAACAGGATAGTACATGTATGTAGTGGTGTCCCAAATGGCACACTAATGATTTTTTACTAAGCGGAAATTCAAACCGTTTCCCAGATGACGTTTGACGGTCGCCAAATCAGTGAAATAAACGACCGAATTATCAAATAATACCTATCGTGAGTATTGCCGCATTCACCATCGGGAGGCGCTATAATCACTCTCGTAGGAGAATTTTGCTTTCTCCATCCAAAATAAATAAAGTTATCCAACATGTGCGTCCGATAGCTCCGCCCCTTCTGCTACGCAAGCAAACCTGCGGCCGTTGAGTGCGTGAAGTGTCCATCATTGCACACTTCATTTCACCGGCTGAATGAGTGCATCATCCGGGTAATTAAAGTGCACTTATTATTTTTAGAGTTTTCAGTGTGAACGCACTACTTACACTATTTATACTACAAAATGGCGTAGAATAGTGCATAAGTATGCGATTTGGGACGCAGCAAATGAAATAACCGCGCTCCGATTGTACGGCTTTCACACTGCAATCGATCCGCTCCAGAGTTCGTTTCAATCGAGCCGAGACCACCTCATTCAAGCGATCTCAGAGCGATTAATTTGGTGCGGATCCGAGAGCAATTGGTGGTTTCACATATGCCAAACGAACCACGCTAACTGGGCAAATGAGACAGGCTCTGAAACAAAAGTGTAGGTGTGAAAGCACCCTTAGATTAACGTTGTTGTGTCACCGAGTTTCATGTAATTTTGGTTGTTTCATTATTAATTTGTCGACTTTCACTGCAGTTTGGCACTTTCACTTTCATTTGGGCAGGTCTTTGCGCGCCACACACACACACACAGGATAATGCGGTTTAGTTTGCGCTTTTAAGAGCAACAAATTTTTACAACCAGAAAGGGAGCGGTAAATAATGGAGTAATCGTTTATCTCGATTAATGGTTTTTGATAATCGTTAGAAGCCAAAATCGAAATCGGATGTTCAATTAAGTGCACAGCCCTAGTTACCCAGAGAGCAGTCAGAAACACTTATGTTGGAGTTTTAAATAAACATGGGCTAGTTTTAGCTAGTGGTCCACTCACGTGTTGTGGGACGAGGAGATCCAGTAGTGGGACAGGGGGTTGTTCATGTCCTCGGGCCGCACCTGATCCAGCTGAGCGTCCCAGATGGTGTTTTCTTTGGAGAACAGATAGGTGAGGAACTGAGAAGCACGAAACACAGCACACGTTACTCAGAGCTGCAGATGTTCATCAACACAAACAATCCATTAAAATTCAATAACAACCAGGATTCAGTCAGCAGGAATTTTTTTCTTGCGATTAATTGCTGAATGTTTTAATCGTAATCCTTTTTAGAAGGTGTAAAATAAGTCTCTGGTGTCCCTAGAGTGTGTATGTGAAGTTCCAGCTCTAAATACAGCCTAAAAAATGAAAAAGACTCCTCGAAACTGACCCTTTTTGTGGTGTTTTGGTGACTGTCGCATTAAATGCAAATGAGATTGTGCTCTTTTTAGAAGAGGGCGGAGCTACATATGTCAGAATAGTGTCAGATGCAACTAGAAGAATAACGTTCTATGCTAGTGAGGGGGAGATGGTCACTAGTGGGCGGGGCTTTCCCCCTCTGATGACGCGTACAAAGGAAGAATGTCAATCAAAGTGTTTCTGCAGACTGTTTATATCAAGTGTGATTATAACAAATAAAATTAATACATTATTTCCATTAGAAGCTGGTTATAATCACACACTGCTGCCACACAATTGTGTTTGAACCCTTTATAAAAGAGATTTGGTGGAATGGTGGTGAAAAGTGAAATGGTGGTGGTGGTGGTGTGGATTGTGAAGCGCTTTGGATGTATGGCCATACACAATAAATGCGCTAAATAAATAAAAAAATAAAAAAATAATAAAAAAATTATAATAAAAAAATAAAAGTGATTTCTGCATAATAGGTGCCCTTTAAATCAAATCAAATAAATGTATTTATTAAAAAAGGTACATTTATCACAATATACCGTATTATCACGATATTGACCCACTGTAAACTGCAAAAACGTTTACTTTGCACATGAAAATACAGTAAAGCAATACACTTAAGTATTTTTGGTGTTATTATACCTGTTGAAGTAAATAAATGCTTCAATTTAACACTAATTTAGATTTCTTCAACAGGTAACCCTTTACCATAAACTCCCATTAGTAAACACCAGTTAACAGATTTAAATCAGCAGTAAGAATTAGCCGTATTATAGTTGCAGTTGAAGTCAGAATTATTCACCCCCCTTTGATTTATTTATTATTATTATTTTTTTTTATATTTCCCAAATTATGTTCAACAGAGCAAGGACATTTCACAGTATGTCTGATACTCTGTACAATGTATTTACTGTGCTGATGAGGTATTTGAGAACACTTGTGGTGCCCTTGAGTTGGGATATGGGTATGGTTATGGACAGGTTTGGTGGTATTTGTAGGTTTAAGGGTATGTTAAGGTAAAAAGCCTCCATTCCACTGCACACGACAAGCGACAGAGCGGAAGTCATTCATTTCCAATGGAGAGCAGTCCGGGAGCTGCGTTTAGTTCCGATCATCCCCGTATGCGGAAAATTCGAATTCAAATTGAGCTGCGGATCCGTTAAAATATTTGAACTCCAGCGACTAGACCGTATGCGACCTGCCGACCGGATGTGATCTATTCCAGTGTGATTCAAACAGGTCCGTGCGAGCGAGATGAGAAATAGGAGTTTATTTGGTTATTTTTTAAGTCTATAGCTGCACTCATGCACTATGTACTTATGCACTTACACACTCAACAGGATAGTACATGTATGTAGTGGCATCCCAAATGGCGCACTAATGTTTTTTTTACTAAGCGGAAAGTCAAACCGTTTCCCTGATGACGTTTGACAGTGAAATAAATGACCGAATTATCAAATAATACCTGCCGTGAGTATAACCGCATTCACCATCGGGAGGCGCTATAATCACTCTCATAGGAGAATTTTGCTGTCACCATTTAAAATAAATAAAGTTCTTCAACGTGTGCCCGATAGCTCCGCCCCTTCCGCTACGTAAGCAAACCTGTGGTCGTTGAGTGCGTGAAGTGTCCATCATTACACACTTAATTTCACCGGCTGAATGAGTGCATCATCCGGGTAATTAAAGTGCACTGATTATTCTTAGAGTTTTCAGTGTGAACACACTGCTTACACTATTTATACTACAAAATGGCGTAGAATAGTGCAGAAGTATGCGATTAGGGACGCTGCTTATAAATATATATATAAAAAAAAAAAACATTTCTGTTCTTCAATGCAAGTAAGAAAGTAATAAAAATATATTTTTTAATGTTGTCTCCACATTCCCTCCAATATTTTAGCGGTCTATGAGTTTCTAGTATTCATTAATTCATTAAACCGTGTAAACGCACAGAGAATACTGGCTCTTGCTTTTGCACTGCTTTATTTCGGACACTGAGAATCAGCTTCTCCCCCATGGTGCACGACAACACTGAAAATACTGTGCGACTGCCACAAGGGGGTGTATTCCGAAAGTCATGTCCAAATGTCGTGTGCAGTGGAAAGGCGGCTTAAGAGATGGCCGACAGTCTATTTACAAAAGTAATTACAGAAATTAATTACAGATGTAAATACATACAGGTATTTAATCAAGCATAAGTACAATGTAAAAACATGTATTTACACTAAGTACATTGTAATGAATTATGAATTTCGGTGTAAGTACATATTAATTAAGGGTGTCACAATTTCGATTTTAAATTTATGCTCAATTTCGATTATCGAATCAAAAAATAGAATCGTCGATGCTGCCACGCCCCCAATGTCACGTCAGCTTGGCTTGCCAAGCGGGAAAAAACAGGCTTGTTGAAGTGCTTGTTAAACTGTGCAGACGCAGGAGACCCGTCGACAGGGCTTAAACTTTCAGGGCTCGACAATAAGGACTGCCCGAAGGCCCGGGGCCAGCGTGCGAGACGCTCGGGTCAGTGTACAGTGCTGCCTTGTTGCGTGCCAGATCGAGCCAGAACTGCGTGCTGCGACTGTCTGTCAATTGTGTGCAAATACAATCTTACGGTGCTTTCACACATAGACGTTTGTTTCGGAATCGGTCTCGTTTCCCCCGTTAGCGCGGTTTGTTTGGCATATATCTAGCAATTGAGCTCACATCCGTGCCAAATCAATCAGTCCGAGATCGCCTGAATGAGATGGTCTCTGCCCTATTGAGCGGATCGATTGTAGTGAGAAAACAAAACAATGCAACGAACTAACGACCCAAGCTATATCACAGTGTATTATGATCATGTAATAGCCATGATGAGCAGGGCGAGATGTCATTCTTACCGGTAAATGCGAAAGTGAAAGCATGCTGAAATATTACCGAGAGCTGTTTATCCAGCCTGATCTCGGTTTATCCGTTAGGAAAATTGACCGAAGTTACTATCTGATCATTTTTTCATGTTTTAATCTTATAATATGTTGTGTATAATATGCCAATTGTTTTGTTCTTTCTTTTGAGCTGTCAGTGCGGAAATGATCAACATTGATCTGCTTCGCGATCTGATGCAGTCTCGGTTTATCTGCTATATATAACATATGTCTCTCTATAATTTAAGCCTAAAATGCAGAATTCTAGCCAACGTTTCTTTAATAGATTGATTAATTCAATAGATAGATTTTGGTAATTATGCGTGTATCTTGCCTTTATTCATTTACTGTATGATTTGGTTATGGGTAAAACAAAGACCATGTAGGTCAGGTAGTTTAAACGGTAGGCTACAAATAATTAATTGGTCATTAATTAATTAATTATTCATAATCGAAAATCAAATCAAATCGTGACTTAAGAATCGAAAATGTAATCGAATCGAGAATTTGGAGGATCGTGACACCCTTAATATTAATTAAAGCCACTTAATTTAAAACGGGACCATATTTTCTTCTGGAGAAAATCTTATTTGTTTTATTTCGGCTAGAATGAAAGCAGTTTTTAATTTTTTAATAAACATTAAAAGGTCAGTATTATTATTCACTTTAAGCTATATTTTTTTCTACAACGTTCAGTAGACAAAAAAGCCACGCCCACTGTTTGCTCATTTAATATTCCGTCTGTTTAGGAACTGCATCACAATATGAGCGAGAAAAAAAATGGCACGGCTTCCAGTTCATGTGGACTTTAAATCGTCAAGCATTTGCTGTGATGAACAAACACTGAAACAGCAATCTGAATACTCTTAAACATCTCTCCACACGTATAAATATTAAACAATTATTGACATTACTATGAAGTGCCCATGATATCAATACTGAGTGTGTTCATGATCACGATTTATGATTATTACTGTATATCGGCAGATCTGAGGTCACATGACATGGCAGCAGCGAAGCAGGAAGTGGTGTTGTGGGT